TCGATATGCGTAGCAACAGAAAGCAGCACTCTTTCCTAGAGCACAGGCTTCTCCTTACCTGTCATTCGCCAAAACACTCTTGGCTACACCGCACGTCTCCTTCATCTACGCACAACTCCTACGTCACACCACAATAACACTCTAGGATCAATCTGTGTCGTCTTCACAATCGTGAAAGTGCGTACCACTCCCCTGTATGGTTTGCTGGTCGGTGGCCACAACGCTAACACAACTTGCGCAGACGTAACAACATCTGTCAATACGGCTGTGCACACCCATTCCCTCACCCTCCTACGCGCTGTCACACTGTGCTGATGGTTCACCTCTCTGTAGGGCAGTTTCTTTTTCTGTAGAATGGGCTCGTCCTGCCCATCTACAGCCAAGATTAGACTGTTCTTCCTCACTACTTTAGGAGAGACTCTTGAAGAAGAACCATGCACTTCAAGGGATTGCAATTTAATTCTGAGTGACTTTTCTTTTTTCCTTTCAAAGCTTGTGAACTGCACACATTTGGCAGAACTTGTAAAGAAAGGTGTAGTGGACCAGATGGATGCAAGTCCTATGTTTTCTGTCTCCCAGACCCATATGGGTGTTCCTGTGCCACAGGCTGGAAGGGTCTGCAGTGCAATGAAGGTATGCACCAATCAGACCCCTGGATAAATCAGTTGTGGCTGGCATACAAAAGTGGTGCAGTTTGCTGGAAATCACAAAGTAGAATATGCAGGGATGCTCTGTCAGCTATGGAGCTTTAAATCACAGATATTTTCATGCAAAGGAAATTATACTGTCACAGTAAGACTGGAGCACATAGAAAGTGTTTCTCATGTATGTCACGTGGGGATCTTGTTAAAACATAGTCTCTGATTTGGTAAATCTGGACTGGGCCTAAGAGGTCTGCATTTCTTTCTTTCTTTCTTTCTTTTTTTTTTTTTTTTTTTTTTTGCAGTACTAGGAGTTGACCTCAGAGGTTCACACTTGCTAGAAAGGTGCTCTACTGCTTGTCTCAGCCAGCCAGGGTCTGCAGTTCTAACAAGCTTCTAGTTGGTTCTATTGCTGTTGGTTTTCAGATCATGCTTTGAATGGAGAGAATGCTTTGAATAGAGAGACCAGGCAAGATTTGCTTTTTTCAGAGGGCCATAAACACTAGAGTTTTTAGACCAAGATAGAATTTAAGGCTTGAAAATGAAAGAATTAAGATCCTATCATTTGTGGATCTTAACCAAGCACTAAATGATCACCACTGTCAAGGTAATTATCCATTGTCTCACACAGTTATGTTTGTGGTGAGAATATTTAAGATCTTCTCTCTTAGCAAATTACAAGTATACAACATAGAAATAATTATTGTTGTTATTATCATTAGGCAGAGTCTTGCTATGTAGCCCAGGCTGGCCTTGCACTCTGAATCGTCCTATTTCAGCTTCCTGAGTGCTGGGTTTACAGACAGGTACCACAATGCCTGGTTCCACAATATAGTATTATTAACTGTAGTCCCATGTTCTATATGTCCAGAGTATATTCAAACTATATAACTGAAACTTTGTATACTTTGGCCAATATATCCACATTTTCTGCCACCCCTGGGCACCTGGCAACCACTAGTTTCTGCATCTGAGTTCACCTCTTTTGGATTGCACATATGAACTCATGCAGTATCTGCCCTTCTGTGCCTGACTTATTTCACTTAGATAATGTCCTCCAGATTCATCCATGTTGTCAAAAATGATAGGATTTTCTTCCTTTTTAAGGCCAAATAGTATTCCTGTTGTATGTGTTTCATATTTTCTTTATACAAAATGGTTAGGAAAAGTTGATTATCATGGTTGATTCCATATCTTGGCTATCGTGAGAAATGCTACAATGAGCATGGGAGAACAGGTATTTCTTGAGATACCAATTCTATTTCCTTTGGCGATTATACTATATATAATTAGATAGATAGACATGGACATAGATATATCCAGAGGTAGGATAGCTGGATCATATGATAGTTCCGTTTTAGTTTTTTAGGGAGCTGCCACACTGTTTCTGTATTTACATTCCTATCAACAGTGTACAAGGTTTGCCCTTTCTCTATGTTCTTGCCAACATTTGTTATCTTTTGTCTTATGATAATAGCCATTCTAACGTTCTGAGGTGATAGCTCATTGTGTTTTTTGATTGTTTTATGATGGTTAGTTGATATTGAACAGTATTTCATATACTCATTGGCCTTTTGTACATCTTCTTTTGAGAAATGTTTATTCAGGTTATTTGCCCATTTTTTAATAAGGTGGTTTTCTTGCTATTGAGTTGTTTCAGTTCCTTATGTATTTTGAACACTAACCCCTTATCAGATGATGGTTTGCAAATATATTCTTTCACTCCATTCATTATTTTTCACTCTTTGTTTCCATTCTTTGCAGAAGCCTTTTGATTAGATGCAATCGTTTTATTTATTTTTGCTTTTGTTTCCTTAACATTTGGGTCATATCCAAAAGATCATTGCCCAGATTAACCTCTAAAAGATTTCTTTATGTTTTCTGCTAGTAGTTTTACAATTTGGGATGGTATCTTATGTTTTAAGTTCTGAATCCATTTTGAGTTGATTTTTGTATGTGGTGTGAAATGATAAACTAATTTCTTTCTTCTGCTATGGTTATCCAGCTTTCCTTATACCATTTATTGAAGTGATTATCCTTTCTCTATTGTGTGTTCTTGGTACCTTATTGAATCACTTGATAGTAAATGTATGATTTATTTCTGGACTTTCTACTCCATTAGTGTTTTTAATGCTAATAACTATGATTTTGATTAATAGAGTTTTATAGTATATTTTGACATCAGGTAATGTGATATGTCTAGCTTTGTTCTTCTTACTCAATACCTTAACTGTTCCTGATCTTTTTTGGTTATACATGAATGTTAAGTTTGTTTCTTCTGTTTCTTTGAAAAATTCAATCAGACTTTTGATAAAGATTGCATCAAATCTGTAGATCACTTAGTTATGATTGATGCTAAGAATTGAAGACTGGATCTTGGCTTGGTGAATAAGTTATACAACTGAAAAAAACCATAAGAGCCTCAGGGATATGCTTTTGTATCAATTTTGGTTAAAAGCCTTCTAGTAATATTAATCAAAATAAAGACAGTTAATCAACAAAATCTGTTCATCACCCACCAAATTCTAAGAATCTTCCTAGGAAGTTCAGTGAACCTCAAAGGGAAACTAGTGGTTCTATCCCACCTTACAGGAGCTTATGTAGTACAGAAGCACATTGAATGACAGGTCTGCCCTGCTGTAATGGAAAAATTGGAAACAAGTTTGCAAAGGCTAAAATTCTCTTATTTTTAATTTTCAGCAGGCTGATCTTGATGTGGCTAGTCATAATTTTCTTTGCATTTATCCAACTTGAGGTTTGCTAAATTATTGATTATGCAAATTTCAACAAACCGGAGAGATCTAAACCAGAGCTACCCCTTTCTCTCTCCTTCTTAAATCTTTAATTCCATAGGCACCTGAGCTCTAATAATTTTTTTCTCAAGCTTTTCCTTCTTTGTTCTTTGGGTTGAATATCTATTGATCTAGCTTCAAATTTGACTCTTTGTTTTGTCATCTCCATTCTGCTGTTAAGTCCACACAGTGATACTTGTATTTTGGACAGAAGTTTTCAGTTCTAGACTTCTCTTTGTGGTTTTTTTTTTTTTTTTTTTTTAGTTCTCATTTCTCTGCTGAAACTTCTCATTGCTTCAGTTGTTGTGAACATATTTTCTTTTACCTCACTGAGCATGGTTATTTATAGTTGCTTTAAAATTTCTGGTCTCCCCTTTCTTATATCGAGGTTGGTCTCTGTTGATTTTCTTTTCTCTTGAGTAGTTTGGAATTATATCTTGGACATTGTGAATGTTGTGAACTCTGGAATGTGATATATTCCTTTGAGGAATGTTGATTTTGTTTTGCTGTATTTTGCAGGCAATTAACTTGGTGGGGCTTGAGCTGTACACTTGGACTTTTAGTCAGCAGGTCAAACTCAGTTCAGTTCTTTTGTCTTTATCTGGGCTTCTGTAAGACTGCACTGGGGATGTGTGGCTTGAGTCTTCTTTCCACCTCTTTCCGATTTACTCCTCTCATTTCCAAGTGACCATGGTTACCCCAATTCTGTCCACTTATTTGGCAGGCGAGTAAGATTGCAGGTTTTATTTGGAGTATTAACCTCTCCACATGGTATCACTTGTACCTAATAATTAAGTGAAATGCTGAAAAATGAGAAACACACCATTCTGGTTTTCCAAATTTCAATTCTCCTATAGACTCTGCCTATTCCTTCTCTCCAAACACAGACCCCTTACCCATGCTGCTGTAATTTCAGGTAGTTTGTTTCTGAATGTAGTTGTATCTTGAAGGGTAGCCTGGGAGAATCTTTCTGAACTCATTGGAAGCAGAACTCCCCAAACTTTTAGGTTCCTGGTAATTCAAGTAAATCACACACTATCTTGTATGAATCAGCAAAGTTGATAGCTTGGATGGAAAAATAAAATTAGCTCTTTATAGCCATAGTTTTTCCCCTTTCTCTGTTTTAATATTGGTTATGATGTCTTTGTTTACAGCCTGCCACCCTGGTTACTATGGACCAGACTGTAAACTTAGGTGCAGTTGTTCCAAAGGGGAGATGTGTGATCGGTTCCAAGGATGTCTCTGCTCTCAAGGATGGCAAGGGCTCCAGTGTGAGAGAGAAGGTAAAGCCAGGTAACACTGTAGTCAGGTCATGTTCAGCTTCTCTGAACAGAGCTCTACTGCTAGAATTCTTGCCCTAGCATCCTAATACCCCAGTCACTTCTGTTTCCCTGCAGAAGGAATTTGTCCCAAACCTTTAAAAAATACTCTATTTCTTCTCCATGGACCCTCATTCTAGTCCTCATTTGTCTTTCTACTAGGAATAAACCATGTGCTCTTTGTAGCACATTAACTCATGACTGGCTAGCTGAGAGTTCTGCCTACCTCTTCTCCCCTCTCTGGGACAGCCTCTTCCCTAGATTTGTACGTGGGAAGAGTTACTTTGGAGGGATTTGGACAGAGGATATTTTCAAAAAGAGATGAAAGAATAAAACAAATAGAAAAGATTACACACACAATGAATTTTTTGTGGTACTGAGGGTTGAACTCAGGAACTTGAACTTGTTAGTCAAGTGCCCTACCACTTGAGCTAAGGCCCCAGCTCTCAAAATAAGAATTTAATAATTCTACCTTAAAACCCACAGACCAAAATCCAATTCAGTATCTTTAAAAAGCAACTTTATTGAGATTTAATTTTCATACCATAATGTCCACCCTTTTATAATGTACAATTCAATGGATTTCAGTGTATTTACAGAATTGTAAAATCTTCACCACAACCAGTTATAGGAACATTGTCACTATACCAAAAGAAACCTTGAACCCATTAGCAGTAACTCTCATTCTTTCCCCAGAACTCGGCAACCATTACTTTACTTTCTGTCTTTATAGATTTGCCTATACGTGACATTTTATATACTGTAAATGGATCATATAACATACGATCTTTTGTGTCTAGCTTCTTTCACCTACCATACCTTTTTTTGAGGTTTACCTATGTTGTAGCATGCAACATATTTCATTCCTTTTTATTGCCCACGATCTGTTATGATGAAGAAACACAGATACACCCATTCATTTATAATATACAGACTGTAGCTGCTTTTGTGTCACAGAGGCAGTATTTCATAGTTACCACAGAAAACCTGGCTTGCAAAGTTGAACATGTTGCTCTCTTTACAGAAAAGTTTACTAATCCATGCCCCCGAAGTACACTTTAAAAATTCAAAAAGCATACTTTCATGTATTTTCAAATTATGAAAATGAAAAAAACATATATTACTTTTAAATTATATAAAATAAATATAAATGTTACTCTTTTCTCTGTTTTTGAAATTGGAACAAGTTATGGGGGGGATGTCAATAATGGTTTTCTCACAGGTTTTATACATCTTTTCTCTGTACTTTTTCCTCCTTTCCCAAGTCTGGACTTTGCTGCGGGACAGGAATACGGGAGTGGCTAGGAAAGGAAGGAAAAGTGTTGAGAATACCAAGGGCTTGGATTAAAAATGGGCCACTAACAAGTTTAAGTATTTAAAATTTGTTCTTTACTGCTTTCTTTTTATTCTAAGGCTGTTGCTGCAAAAGGTGTGTGTTCTGATTGGGAGAATCTGAGATAGATTTATTCAGATTTGCTACATCCTGGTGTTCAGACAGCAGCAACTTTATACTGTTCCACTTTCCAACTACAGAAACCATTAGAGAACAATAAAGAAAAGAAATGCTTCAAAAGTGCCAAAACACTGTTTTCTATTTCTGTTTGAATAGCTACTCAAACTGAAAAATTTGGTAAATTTTCTGATAATTTTTCCAAATCTACAGATAATAAAGGAATTACCTTTGTAATTATTATACCTCTTTCTTCCCTGCTCTATGATCTTTTACCCATTTCATTTTAAGCCTAAGAAGTGGGACATCAGTATTAAGTATCAATACTGATGTGTGTACCTTGACCCCACATCTTCCTACAGCAGTGTGCAAAAGCACATAAGTTTTTGCTGCTCTTGTGGCATTTCTCCCTCCTATATATTGTACTAAGTATTGGATAATTTTTGACCACTGTATTAGTCTGTTTTCTATTGCTATAACAAAATGCCTGAGACTGTGTATTCATAAAGAGGTTTATTTAGCTCACAGTTTTGGAGGCTTAAATTCCAAGATTGGGTAGCCCTGTCTGTTTGGCCTCTGGTGAGGGCCCCATGGCAGGTGGGGGAGAAATGCATTCACAAGAAATCATATGGTACGATAGAGAGAGTCAAGTGTCAGGCTCACTGTTTTATACCAACCCACCTACTCTTGATAGAATTAATTGATATCTGCCACGAATAACACTAACCCCTTTTAAGGGAAGTGTCCCTGATGACCTTTCACTAGGTTTATCCTCTTAGTGCTTCCCCTACCTTTTAACACTGTCTCACTGAGGATAGTTCCCAGCGCATGCACCTTGGGGACACACTTAAGTCACACCCCATCTATGCCTAAATGTCTCTCATTTAATGACAAATGGTCTGAGACTCTCTAAGTCCCTATAGTTCAGAATAAAATGATTCTATTTTGAGGTAATTCATTCTCTATTATGCAGATATTAGGCAAGGAATCTAGATATCATTAACCATTTTAATACTGGAGAAATTTTTTTCTTCATTTAATATTGATGGCACCATTTTTGATTTGACTGTTGAGTAGAAATTAATTGGGGGAGTTATATTACTTCACTTTACTTCTTCGATGTAAATGTGAATAATATGAATAATGTGAATAATTTAAATCACCCTTTAACTCTTTTTTTTTTTGGGGGGTGGGACTGAGTTTGAGCTCAGGGCTTTGTACTTGCAAAGCAGCTGCTCTACTTGAGCCATACCTCCTATCTGTTTTGCTCTGATTATTTTGGAGATGGGGTCTTGTGAACTATTTGTCTGGGCTGGGCTTGAACTGTGATCCTCTTGATCTCAGCCTTCCAAGTAGCTAGGATTATAGGTGTGAGCACCTGGCACCCTTAACCTCTCATATATTTGTCACTTGGAGACTTTCCAATCCATGAGCTTGCTCTCGTATATCCAAACTAAGGATAATGCTGTAGAGCAGGAACACTATGTGGTTGTTTGCTGAGTCAAAAAATAGTTTTGCTTGTAATAATGCTCTTGAAAAGCAAGATGGGGAAGGAAACAGCAAGGTGTGGGGGAAGACATGACCATGATGATTGTTTTAATATTGAGACTCTCCCAGTACAACTGAGAAAATGGGCTCTGAGCCTCAGTCTCCTCATCTGTAGAGTGGAGATAACAATAATATCCACCTCATAAATGTATTATGTGATAATAAGACAAAATATTCACAAAGTTTTTGCATTAATTGCTAATGTAGCTAGTTTTATTATTACTTTTGCTGCTGTGTTAAAGATTAGATATCACAGTGCTGTTTTCTTCATTCAGGCAGGCCAAGGAGGACTCCACAGATAGAAGATTTACCAGATAACATAGAAGTAAACAGTGGTAAATTTAGCCCCATCTGCAAAGCCTCTGGCTGGCCACTGCCTGCTAATGAAGAAATGACCTTGGTGAAGCCAGATGGGACAGTGCTCCAAGTAAGAACCCTTCTTAATCTGCCCTGCTAAAACTGCAAGATGGTTTTGGTGTGCTAATCACCCCACTAAAGACTCCCTGGCCAGTGTGTTGCGAGTTTTGCTAAAACACTGTATTCCAGAGGATGCAGAACAACAGCCTCATCGGTTTCCTCTGCATGGTCAGTGTTGTGGTACAAAGTTGGGAATGTGCCACTACCATGGACTTGATGGGGTTGAGCACCAAGGATGGCACTCATCCTTGTGTGGTGAGCTATGTGTATGTGTCAGGCTGTGCAAGGCTCTGCCCTCACAACATCTCCACAACTCTAACCCCTCACATCAGGAGGACTAAGGTGGCCCAGTGGCCACAGACAGGTGTTGTATTCCATGAATCAGCAGGATATTACTGTGCTTCCAGGACAGTAATATCCTGCTCCTTGGAGCAGTTAAGGGAGTATAGAAGAAGAGAGTTCAGCACGACCCTCTTGACTCTACTCACAAAGGTCTTGAATTTGCTCCCCACATCTCCAATTCAGAAACTATGATCCATGGAATCCCTTAGATCTGAATGGATTCCTTGGGTTTCAGTATATCTCTTTACCTCTTACTTTGTTCTCCTGTTACTCACCACTGACTAGGACCATATCATAGTGGTTCTTTTGTGTAAGACAGGACTAAGCTACCTTCCCAGTGTGCTTCATTTTTTTTTTACTCTCCCAACCATTTCAAAGTCAGCAGAGATAGGAGCCACTCCAAATCTTTACATGTTATAAGTGATCCTCAGGAAGGCTGTGTATTTTCTTATCTATAGATTTTTAAATAGCTATCTTATGTTTTTCTCTCAAAGATGACTGAAAATCAACTTGACTAAAGACACGTATGAGTGGTCTCTTGGGTGCAGAAGCTATAGAATGTGCCATTACCAGTGTTCACATGTCAAATTTTCCCTCTTCCATTCAAACAATGCATTAGGTAGAAGAAGCTAAAAAGTTTCCAAAAATCTTGTTGGCTTTTTCATGAGTTAGTAGAAGTAATGGCTACACACATATATGTGTATATATATTACTTCTTTTTGAGGATTGATTTTCATTGTTAAATTTATAACTGATATTTAAAGATTATGCATAGAAATTGCACAAATTGTGTATAATTATTGCCATGGATGTTCTGATATATGCATACATTGCATAATGTTCAAATCAAAGTAAATATCCCTATCTCTTCAAAAATTTATAATTTCTTTGTGATGAAAATACAATTTATTTCTTTCTCGTGTCTGACTATCTGACTGTTCTGGCTAGGATTTCTGGTACTATGCCAGGTAAAACTAGTGGAAGTGGACATCTTTGTCTTGCTATAGGTCTTGGAGAGAATACTTCAACTTCCCCATATTCAGTGTGATGTTAACTGTTGGCTTGTTATATATAGCTTTTGTTATGTTCAGGTGCATTCCTTCTGTACATAATTTGTTGAGCGTTTTTAATTTGAAAAGATAATAAATTTTATCTAATGCCTTTCTGAATTTGTTGTAAAATCATATAATTTTTGTCTATTTTTTGATGTGATGTATCATGTTTATTGATTTGCATACATTGAACCATTCTTGTATCCCTGGAATGAATCCTACTTGATTGTGGTGAATAATCTGTTTAATGTGCTATTAGATTCAATTTGCTAGTATGTTGAGGATATTTGCAACTATGTTTATCAAGAATGTTGAACTAGAGCTTTTTCTCTTGTATCCTTGTTTGGTTTTGGTATAAGGGTAATGGAGGTTTCACAGAATGTGTTTAGAATTTCATCTTTAATTTCTTGAAATAATATAAGAATTGTACTAGTTCTTCTTTAAGTGTCTGATAGAATTTAGAAGCCATCTGGCTCTAGACTTCTCTTTGATAGGAGTCTTTTTACTTTTTAATTAATCACCTTATTATTAGTCTTTGTAGGTCTTCTATCTCTTCATGATTCAATCTTGGTAAATATGTGTTCCAGGAATTTGTCCACTTCTTTCAGGTTATCAAATTTTTTTGGTGCATTGGTGTTCATAATTTCTTATGTTTCTTTGCATAAGAAACACCTATACTGTCTTATTTTTAGCTCTGATTTTATTTATTTGAATCTTAGTTTTTCCTCTACCTGTGGGTTTGTCATTTTAAAAACTTTTCAAAGAACCAACTCTTTATTTAGTTGATCCTTTGCACACTGTTCTCTATTTCACTTATTTCCTCTCTGGTCTTCTTATTTCATTCTTTCCAGTAATTTTGGGTTTGGTTTATTCTTCTGGTTCCTTGGGATGTAGCAATAAATTACTTATTCAGGATTTTTCAATGTAAGCAGTAACTACTATGAACTTCCCTCTTAGTACTGCTTTACCCCATAGGTTGTGGTATGTTGTATTTTCATTTGTTTCACAAAAAATTTATTTACCAGTATTATCCTTGACTCATTGGTTTTTGTGGAGTAAGTTGTTTCATTTCCATGTATTTATAGTTTCCAAAGTCTTCTTTGATATTGATTTCTCATTTTATTGAACTGTGTTTGGATAAAAGAATACTTGCCAATTTTAGGTTTTAAAAATGTGTTGAGACATGTTTTGTGGCCTAACATATGGTGTACCTTGACAAATGTTCCATGTTCTGTTGAAAAGAATGTGTATTCTGCATCTGTAGGTGTCTATTAGGTCCATCTGTTCTATGGTGCAGTTGAAATCTGCTATTTCTTTGTTTATGTTTTTTGTATGGATGACCTATCTATTACTGAAAGTCCCCTACTATTATTATATTAGAGTTGATATATCCCTTTATGTCTATTAATATTTGCCTTATATATTTAGGTGCTCCAATAGTGGATATTTATCTGTCTACCTACCTACATACTGCTTGTGATTTAAAGTATTTTTCCATTATATGTATGTCTATTCCTACTTTATTTTGTATTATGTTTTCATTCCATCTCTTATTTTCAGTCTATGAATGTCATAGAGGTGAAGCAAGTTTCTTGTAAGCAGTATATAATTGGTTCTTTAAAAAATTCATTCACTTTATGTCTTTTAATGGGAGGATTTAATTCATTTACATTTAAGGTAAGTTTTAATAAGTAAGGTCTCACTATTGCCATTTTGTTACTTCTTTACTAATTTTATTGTAGTTCCTTTCTTTCTTCCTATCTTATAGTTTTCCTTTTTGGTTAAGTTGCTTTGGTTCCTTATTATTTTGGGTTTGTCTATTTCAGATTTTTGCTTTATGGCTACCATGAGGCTTACAGAAACATCTTTTGATGATAATCAGTTGTCTTGAAATTATGGCAACTTAACATGATCATAAATGTAGTAAAAGAAACCAAGGAAAAAGAGAAAAAATGATAGCAAAATATTCTACACTTGCACTCTATGCCTGTTCACATTTTGAATTTTTGATGTCCCACTTTATGTATTTTTATATTACCTGTCTCTTGACATATAAATATAATTATTATTTTGATTGTGTTTTAGTCTTTGCACTGAAGATATGAATGGTTTATATACCATGTTTACAATATTAGAGCATTCTGGATTTGTTCATATATTTACTCTTACCTTCTGATATTTTATATCTTCTGATATTTCCTCCTTACTGATTAGTGTCTCTTTCTGTTTGAGAACTCTGCTTAGCATTTCTTATAGAGTAGGTCTGGTGGTGACAAATTCTGTTTTTGTTTGGGAATGTCTGCATCTCTCCCTTACCTTTATAGGATAGCTTTGGTGGCTAAAGTATTCTTGGTTGGCATATTTTTTTTCCTTCAGTATTGTGAAAAATCTCATCCCACTCTCTCCTGGCCTGGAAAGTTACTGCAGAGATCTGCTGTCAGGTGAATGGAAACACTCTTATTTTTATTTTATTCTCTTTCAGCTTTGAAAATACTTTTTATCTTTAACCTTTGAAAGCTTGATTATAAAATAATGCATATGGTAGACCTGGTTGAGCTAAACCTGAATGGTGACCTTTGACCTTCCTTATTTGAACATTTGTATCCTTCTTTGGGTGTGAGAATTTTTCTTTTATAATAATTTCGAATATGGCTTCTATGCCTTTAACATTTTCTCTTGAATGCCAACAATCCAAATTTGCTCCTTTAATGTTGTACCAAAGTTTCCAAATTTTTCTTCAAACATTATTTTTCTTTTTTCTATTCTGTGTGTTTTCAAATAGCCTGTGTTCAAGCTCACTACTTCTTTCTTCTGTTTAAACTATTGTGCTATTGATGTCATCTTATGTTTTTAATATTGCTTAACATACTTTCTAGTTCAAGGATTTTTACTAGATCTTTTTTCTAGATTACTTCAGTTTTCTTATTATGTTTCTCTCTTAGAGTATTAAATCATTTCTCAAAGACCATTGAGTTTTATTAAAATAGTTTGAATTCTCTGTCTAAAGGTTTGCAAATATCAACTATATGACTGGTTTGTACCTTATTTTGTTTCTTAGGTGAGGCCAGTTGGCTCTGAAAGGTTTTTTAAATTATTTTTTTATTTGAATGGTGCTGGGGATTGAACCCAGGGTCTTAAGCATGCTAGACAAGTGTTCCACCATTGAACTAACTGTATCCTGGCCCCTCCCTGAAAGTTACTGATGATTATTGGCATAGAAAACCATCTGCACTCTGAAGGATTAGGTGTGTTTCCAATCCATGTAATCTGGCTTGCTTCGTGCCTGTCTGTCCTTCCAGAAATTCTAAGCGGTCAGTTTCCTCTGACTTTGTGGACACTTCCACTATTTCAACACTGGATGGTATCCTAAGTTCAAGTTTGCTCCGAGTCTGCCATTGTTATGTTGTCACTATCTCAGTACTAGAGGGTGCCCCAACTCCAGGTTTGTCTAAAATCTGCATTTGGTGTATTCAGATGAATTGTGGGAGCACCTGAAGAGGAACAACCTACTGGGAAGAGGGAAGGAAAGTAAGCACAGGGCTACCTGGGAGGTCAATGCTAAGCCCACAAACCTCCATCTGGGGCATAAAGGCCCAGATGCCTCATTTACAATTACTTGCTACTATCCTGTGTTCAGGCACCACAGGATTCTTCCCAGTTCTTGGCCTCAGTGAGGAAAGACTGTTCTCAGGCTTCTATACAATGATTTGGCACTTTACCCCTGCCCCTCAGCAGTTACTGTCTCTATGTTGTACTGCCTGGGGTTAGGGGAGAAATGGTGTGAACTAGGGGAGAAATGGTGGTCACTTAGGTCACAAGGCTGGGTCATACCCTGAGCCCACAGTCTCATTGATATCATACATCACCAAGACCCACCCTGCTGAGATGTACTCTATTACTAGGCCATTGCAACCAGCCACAAGGTGATGGTGGTCAGAGTAAATGTCCAATTAACTGAGGCCATGAGTCCTCACCTGGCTTCAGTATGGGTCCAGAGGCTATGTCTTCAGGCACTGCCTGGTAACAAGGACTATTAGCTCTGCCCAGTATTTGGTTTCACTAGCCTGATACCGAGTTCCAAGACTGTGCTCACTTTCCTTACCTACCCCCCAGAGTAAGAAGCCTTTCTCTTTGCTGTGCTCAGTTGGAGGCAGTCCCTCAGCCTTCCAAGCTGGATCATGCCTGAGTCACATCTTCAAACACCTGTACAGTCTTGGAGGTTTGTGCTAGGCCCACATCATGATTGACAATGATGCAGGTCAAAGCACAAATCTGTCCTCCAGCGTGCATGACCCTGCCTCGTACCAGGATAGGTCTAGAGACTCTGTCTTTGAGCACTGGTCTGGGAAGTTGTGTTTGGTTTCCACTTAGTGCTGAGTTTTACTGTGGGCTTGGCTTGAGCTCCAAGCAAAGTCCTATGCTTACTTCTGCCCTGATTTCCAGTACGTGGTGTATTGCTCCTTGCTGTGGTAACTGAGGCTGGGGGAAAGGTGATGCTGGCAGTTCTTTGGCCACCTGGCCGATAGGGTCCAGTGGCTCAGTCTGCAGGTATGGCTTCAAGGAAGATGTCTTGCCTGATACTCATGACAGGCCAGCAACTAGGCCTAGACTTAATTTCCTCTCCCAAGTGGGAGACATGTAACTCTTTCTTTTCTGCCTGCTTCAATATGTCTTTTCTTATTAAAACTGGACCGTATGGTTTCTCACCTGGCATCCTTAGCTCTTTAAAGGCAGATGGTGTGTGAATAGATTTTCAAACTGATTTCTCTGTGGGGAGATCATTGCTGGAACATCTTACCCAGCTGCCATCTTGCTCCTCTATCCATAACTTCTTAGCATTACCAGATCCTCTGCCGCTTCACAAAAGTAGAAACTGGATGAGGTTAAGTACCTGAGGAATTGGTCAAAAGTAGCAGAGGTCCATGTGTCTTGAGAACTTTGACTTTTCCCATCATATCACATCTGACAGCTCCTCAAATACTTAGTAAGACACTTTTCCTCCCACCCAGTCATCTTTGTATTAAACCGGAAAGGAACAAATGTTACTCAAAGCAGTTTAAAAGGAATTAAGCTCCTTGCCTGTAAGTGTTTACCCCACACTCCCAAACACAAATACAACAGCAGGATCTGAGAGGGCATCAATCCAATATAAACTTTCAAGGCTACTACAATGGCATTGGAGATAAGCCAATAATTATATTAGCATTGCATTTAGCTACTTAATCTCTCCTAGAAAACTTCTTATTATACAATAATATGGGGTTAGTGTTTATACCTTTTTGTTTTTGCCTCCTTAGAAGTTAAATTTTTTTTTATTTGACTGTTTCAGCCAAATGACTTTAACCATACGGATCGTTTCTCAGTAGCCATATTCACCATCCATCGAATCCTGCCCCCTGACTCAGGAGTTTGGGTCTGCAGTGTGAACACAGTGGCTGGGATGGTGGAGAAGCCTTTCAACATCTCTGTTAAAGGTAAGCTTCATTTTTCGCAGGAAGAGATTATATTCTTGACATACTGTGTTTATACTCTGCTGAGGAAATATGTTACTTCTAGACAGAAATGCTATTTGACTTCTAAAATACTTTTGAGACATTTTCCAGGTTACTGAAGCTTTTTTTTTTCCTCAAAATCATATGCGTGAAAGTAGAATGAAAGATTAAGAGAATGATCTTTGAAGTCACACAGTCCTGGGTTTAATTTTGTCCCTAACAGGTTATAATATTGTGGATGGCCTTGAACAAATGAATTTACTTCCTTAAGACATTCTTTGTCGTGAAGCATATGGTGTCTACTTCTTAGTGTTATTGTGAGAATTCATTAAATATATAAAATACTTAAAATAGTGCCTGGTAGAACCTGTCTGGTGGTGACTGTATTTCAGGAAAAGTTGAACATCAACATTGTTGTGACTTTATACTCATTATAGAGAATAATTTGGAGAATATTCATTTGGGAGATTATGAAGCTATGCTATATAATTAACGTGACTGATTTTTCACATATTTAGGGTATTATGTATTCTTCCTGTTTTGAATTAGTATTTCAAAGTTAGAATTAATCTGAGTGGATATGTGTGTGTGCGTGTTTGTGACCTGAGGGGTAGAACTAAGTTGGGGACAAATCCAAGTTAACTTGGCAGGTGTACTTATTTAGACAAAAATATCTAACCGCTCTCTGGTATACATTCTAGAAAAGACACTGGGCTAAGTGTATCACATAGTTTCATCTTATTTAATCTTTGTAAGTATTTTGGACAATAGATATTTTTATCTTCATTTGCTGGTGAGGTAACAAGTTTAGGTAGCACAGCTGATATGTGACAAGGCTTAGTTTTGGAGCTGGGTCTTCTGACTCCATGCCTAGCCCCATCTCTTCTGAGTCTCTTGGTGTTACAGATGAAGAAATAAGATGGCCAAAGTTGATTTATATTTGTCCACATCATTATTTGATTAGTAATCTTTTGAGAGATCCCAGAGGTAACTTCTATAAATGAAATGGTGGAAATACTCAGAATACGGTGTGTTTTTTGTTTGTTTTTTTAAGGCCAAGAACAGCAGAACCATAGCTGCAGTCTCATAGACTTGGATTCTCTTCCCTGGGAATCCATTTAAACTATCTCAGAATGTAGTCTTATGATTACAGGAAAAAAGCCCAAGTCTGTTTCATTCAATAGAACATTTACATAATCAAAATAATTTCTTACATCTTGCATATTCTTAGAAGAAAGGAAATGATATGCAGACAAGACAAATTATCTTGTTTTTAACCTTCTTGGAATGTTTGCTAATGTTGTCAAAAACAAACCATGTTGCTAACATACAGGAGAGTCACTGGTTTTAATTTTTCTTTTGTAATGAAAGACATAGAACACAAGATCAATGCATAAAACATCTTCAGTCCTAAGTCACTGAGACCTCTGTTGTTATATTGACAAGTAGCCATAAGATGGAAATAAGATTAGTTTTTTAGGAAAATTAATCAGGGTCTTTAATTATACTATTAAAAATAGACACTGGGCTTTACAATTAGAGTACACATTAGAATAGAGGCTTTTGGAAACTGGTAGTATGTACTAGGGCTAAGCCTAACACCTACCTATGACCCACCAATTCTACTCTTAAATATAAGCTCAAAAACTGAGTGTATAATTTTAATAAAAGACATCTTCAGGAGTGTTCAGAACAGTTTCGTGCATAATAGCCTCAAAATGAAATCAGTCCAAGTGTCCGTTAGCATCAGAAGGGGTTATAAATTGTGATATATTCATATGTATTAGTTTGCCAGTACTGCTATAACAAAGGACTATAGGCTGGGTGGCTTAAACAATAGAAATTTATTTTATTTCAATTCTGGTGACTAGAAGTTCAAGATCAAGGCATCAGCAGAGTTGATATCTTCTGAGGCCTCTTCTTGGCTTGTTGGTGGCCATCTTGTCCATGTCTTCACAGAGGCTTCCCTCTGTATTTGTGTAACCTAATTTAATTTACCAAGGACACCAGTCATATTGGATTAAGACCTGCAATAATGACATCATTTTAACTTAGCTACCTTTTTAAACACTCTAACTCCAAATAAATTTACATTCTGAGGTACCAAGGGTTAAGCCTTAAATGAATTTTGGGGGAACTCACTCAGCCCATATAGTCATACTGTGGACTATTATATTGCAATAAAAGAAATAATTCCTGCAACAATATAGGTAAATATCATAGTCATGAATCTGAGCAAAAGAAAAGACATGCTTTATAATTCTATTTATATAAAGAACAGGCAGTACTAATCTTCAGTGATAAACGGCAGGGTAGAAGTTACCTCTGGGTGGAGGACATTGACTGGGAAGGGGCTCAAGGATGCCTCTTGGGGGAATGAACATGTTCTTTACCTTAATCTTGGTGGTGACTATATGGGTACACAATAATAGATACAATTCACTTAAGATTTTTGCACTTTACAATATGTGTATTTTATCTCAATGAAAATGATTAAGAGACAAAAAATTAAAATGATAGATTATAAAAAAGAAGCTTTTAGAACAAATTTTCACTCTTATAAAAGCATTACAGGCTGCAATTAATGATAATAAGATATCCACCTGCTGGCTTAAACAAAGAGGTGGTATTTAATCATACAATAGAGACATGGCTTAGTGCATGAATTTAGTCACAGCACTGCCCTATTCTCTATGTAAATATATTCCCAGTCCTACCTAATTTAACATAGATACAGTCTGTTTCTATTCAGGGAATATTCTTTTTTTTTGGTATTACTGGGGTTTGAATGCAGGGCTTTGCACTTGCAAAGCAGGCAATCTACCACTTGAATCACACCTCCGGGTCCATTTTGCTCTGGTTATTTTGGAGATAGGGTCTCATGAACCATTTGTCTGGGCTGGGCTTGCACCTTGATCCTCCTGTCAGCCTCCCAAGTAGCGACAATTATAGGTGTGAGTCACTGGTACCTAACTGAGAGGGTATTCTTTTTTTTTTTTGTTTTTTGGTTTTTTTTTCCTTTTTCTTTTATTATTCATATGTGCATACAAGGCTTGGGTCATTTCTTCCCCCTGCCCCCACCCCCTCCCTTACCACCCAGTCCACCCCCTCCCTCTCCCCTGCACCCCAGTAGAAACTATTTTGCCCTTATTTCTAATTTTGTTGTAGCGAGAGTATAAGCAATAATAGGAAGGAACAAGGGTTTTTGCTGGTTGAGATAAGGATAGCTATACAGGGCATTGACTCACATTGATTTCCTGTGCATGGGTGTTACCTTCTAGGTTAATTCTTCTTGAACTAACCTTTTCTCTAGTACCTGTTCCCCTTTTCCTATTGGCCTCAGTTGCTTTTAAGGTATCTGCTTTAGTTTCTCTGCATTAAGGGCAACAAATGCTAGCTAATTTTTTAGGTGTCTTACCTATCGAGAGGGTATTCTTGATTAGGCTTTTTATGAGGTCAATTATCTAGATCGTGGACAACTTCCTAAATCTTCATTCAGCTAGTCAGTAGAATCTAGGGAATGTCAATTGTGTTTCAGTCCCTATTGTGGGTGCTGAAAATACAGTAGTGACTAATATAGGGGGGTGAAAGCACTCTGTCATAAAGTTTCCACTTCTATAGGGGGATAAGCCATGAGTAAGTAAATGTGTAGTTGTTTAAAGATGCTGAGTGCCATGGAGAAAGCAGAGATTAGGTTGGGAATGCTGGGGCATGGCTACAAAGGCAGCTATAATCTTAAATAGGACAGTCAAGCTATCTTGGGAAGACATGAAGACATTTGAGCAAAAACTTGCAAGTCATCTCTTAGGATAGTGAACCAAAGCAGAAGGAAAAGTAAAATGACTGAACCATGAAATGTCCCCAATAGTTGAAAGGGTCAATAGCACATAATACACATTCTTAGGGAGGAAAAAATCCAGTTATGCATTTCTAAGAAGATCTCTTTCTCATGGAGCTACAGAGCACATTGGAAATTCAGCTCACAGACATTCATTTGGCACATGGTAGGTGCTGTGCTAGTGAGAAATTTTCATAGTCTTTGTCCTAGTGTAGAGTCTAGAGCACTGTTTTACAGCCTTTTCATTATCATCCCACTAAGGAGCTCTTTTAGGTATTCTATTTCCAAACTCATCATAAAATTTTAATTTCACAGATGTACTGTACATCTACTTATGTGCCATAGCACTTTTAATATCAAAGGGCTGCAAACCACTGTAATACCTAAGATTTTTTTCATTTCTCCAAAAACCAATTTTCATTTCTTTGGGGGTACTGTCACTTCCATTGAGAATACATGGCCTTTACCATGGGAAAATTATTCTAGATTATCCAGTGGACCTATGTTAAGCATGAGTCCTTAAAGGCAGAAAATCTTTCCTGACCATGATGAAAATTAGTAATAGGGGCACAAGCATCAGAGAGACCTGGTGGTGTTGGCTTTGAAGATAGTTGGAGAGGCCTTGAGCCAAGGAATGCAGGTGGTCTCTAGAGGCTGGCAAGAGCTTTAAAAGACCACCCCAGATTCTCCCTTAGAGCCTCCAGAAAGGAACACAGCCTTGCAGACATCTTGATGTTAGCCCAGTCAGATTTATGTCTGACTTCTAATTTGCACAACTGTAAAATTATAAATGTGTGCTGTTTTAAATGGAGAGGGAGAGGGAGAAGGGGACACAGAGAATATATGCAAATATGCAAAGGAATTTGAGTGAATAAATTAGTAAATATGTGGTCTAGTATGACCACCAACATCAAATAATCAAATAATGAACTCAGAAAATGAAGGAAAGATAGAGGATCTCTGCAAGCATACGACACATGAGCCTAGTTGAGGTTCTGGGATAGCCGCCTATGATTAAGCCAGGGGAGCTAAGAGTTGAATGCCCAGGAAGAGTTAACTGGGGGCCGGACTCCTGTGTCCATGCCTATTATCCCAGCTACTCTGGAGGCAGGGCTCAGGAGGATCTCTGTTCAAAGTCAGTTGGGCAAATAGCTCCTAATACCCTATCTCGAAAAAACCCACCACAAAAAAAAGAGTTGGTGGAGTGGCTCAAGGTGTAGCCCCCCATTTCAAGCCCCAGTGCTTAAAAAAAAAAAAAGTTAACTGGGAGAATATTGGAACGTGGCACATTCTTCTTAGGAGAAAGCATCCATAGAGGACCAATGCTGAAAGGAGCTTGGTGCTTTGTAGTTGGATGAGCTGAAAGCTCAGTAGTAATGGAGGGTATTAAATGAGCAGAAGAGGAGGTTGGAGAATAGACAGAAATGATTGCACAAGGCCTGGCAGGTTATGAAACAAATTTAAGATTTTAACCTACATGTCAGGAGAATCCACTGAAGAGTTGTGAACACAGGAGTATTTTAAGGAAGCCCTTTACCTTGGATAATGGGCAGGAGTGAGAGCAAAGCAGAGTGCTCAGAGAGCAGGTGATTGATTGCATTGAATCTGAGCAGAGAACTCCAACTCCAAAGGGACTGTGTGTAAACATATAGTACTCATTCTCTACCCCCACTTAAGAATAACAGAACCCCAAAGGCTAAGGACTATTCTGATTGTTGGGTTTTTATTTAGTTCTTCCAAAGCCCCTGAATGCTCCGAATGTGATCGACACTGGACATAACTTTGCTGTCATCAACATCAGCTCTGAGCCTTACTTTGGGGATGGACCAATCAAATCCAAGAAACTTCTGTACAAACCTGTCAATCATTATGAGGCTTGGAGACACATTCAAGGTAAGGTTTGGACAAGAGAAACCCTAGCTGGGGATACGACACTGGGCAACAAATTTCCCCTAGATAAGAAATTCCCTTCACCCTGCCTCAACCCTCTACCCTCAGGTGGTGGCTACAGTAGAGGATTCCACTTAAAAATATTTAGGAGTGAGGGAAGGGGGCCCTCTGAGTTCTGGGGCTGACCTTCTGGAAGTCATTTCACTAAGGGACACAGAAGCCACCTGTACCATGGGTTACTAACTATATCAGTATCTCCTTTCCAGACGCTGTCTCTGGGTTTCCCATTCTGTCTTCAGTACTCGATCTTGCCTGGTCATAGTAAAAATATGTGTTTACACCATGACTGTAGTAACAAGAAAGTTCAGAGCCTGCTGGGAAGGCAGAGAGGCTTAGTGTACCTAAATCCTAGGTGCGATTGTTCCTGCTGTGTCAAGTTTTTTTCTTTTTTTCATTTCATATGTTGCCCTGACCTACAGACACCTAACATACAGACATTTTTAGAAGAATTTGAACTTTAAAAGCTTGGGCTGTGCAGACAGGACTGGGGTCAGGGGAGGAGGGAGTGTGAGTGGTGAAAGCTACATGCCCCTCCCCAACTTCCTGAAAAGGAAAAATAATATATCAGTGAAATGTGACAAAATGTCAAAAGATCATGAAAGATGTTAAATTTATTTTAAAACACAATTACAGTTCTATTTGTCACATAGTAATATAAAATCATAATTTATAAAATCAAAGGCTTAGTCTTTGTTGTATGGTGGTAATAATAAAAAGTGACAACCTTTTACTACTGGTGGACATCACAGAATGGGCTTCCAAGAACTGTTAAACATAGCCTATTTTTTTTCTTACCAAGAAGGAATTTATTATAGGGTAAGACAAAACTTTACTTTCACAATATTCATGGAGATGCAGAGACTGTCTAAAGCAAATAGTTAAGAAGAGATGCATCATTTGTTAATGGAAAATGTTTTTAAGGGATTCCAGAACCTTTATTGTAATGATGTGATTATTAGAAATCAGTTGTATGGTCAGGTTAAGCAAACCCTCAGAGCACTTTTCTCTTGATAGCTTGATTGCAATGTGTATGAACTTGAAAACAGTAGAAATGCAATTATCACGTTGCTCTGTAAGTTTCACCATCTCAATCTGGTGTTCCATGTAGTGAAGTTTTATTTTACAAATAAACACTAGAGCAGAAACATGTATGTGGCATGGAGTAATACAAATTAATACATGCATTGTAGTCTTGAAATATCCTTTCAAAACCCTCATTTTCCTTATATTAGGAATGGTGAGGCCTTGCAGATGGAATTGCCTGTTTCACTAAGAAATTTAAAAACCTAAATTTAGTCGACACTGCAATAACAAGGCCAGTTTAAAGAATATAACAGTATGCAAACTGAAGTTTCCTGGACTTTCTTTCTTTTCAGTGTCAAATGAAATTGTTACACTCAACTATTTGGAACCTCGAACAGAATATGAGCTCTGTGTGCAGCTGGTCCGCCGTGGAGAGGGCGGTGAAGGGCATCCTGGACCTGTGAGACGGTTCACAACAGCTTCTATCGGTCAGTTGAAGCCAACAGGCATTTATTCCTGAGCAGGGTGGGAGGGGGAGGAAAGGGAAAGAGGAAGGAAGACCAGGAAGGGTGGTGGTGGGTGAGTGGGTGGGTGGGGATGGAGGTGGAAGAAGTTTGCTTTTGAATGGGTGGGAAAGTGACAGGAAGGTTAGCAGCTTCAAGCCAAACAATTCCTTTATTTGGGCTGGATTCCTAGTCTGCCTCCCTGGGGGAAGGGGTCTGTAGCCATCCAGGGGGACAGAGAAGGAAGCAGATGAGCCTTCAGGAAGGCAGAGACATCCCTTAGGACTTTAGATTTACTTAGCAGCAACTGTGCTGAGTCTTGGCTCCTGCATTTTACCCCCGCTTCCTGTTTCCATCTTAAGGGGCCAGGCCAGGCTTCTGCCACATACATGCTCCAGAAATTCCAGTTTATTTACTCTTAAAAAATAATTTCTATTTTTTTCAAAGTAATTCATGTACATACTTAAAACATCAAATAGAAAAAAAGGCTTTTATCTTAGGAACAGTACTCCCCAGCTCCACTCCTCTACCACCAAAGTCCTGCTTCCTGTAGGCAGTCATTTTTATATCCTTAAGTTATTTCTTATAATATTTTTTTCCATGCTATTAAATCAGTGGTTCTCAAACACAAGTGCTCATCAGAATCACCTCAACAGGTTTAGAGTAGGATTTGTATTTCTAATAAATTCACAAGTAATGCTTCATACCACCTGTCTGGGGCCACATGATCAAGATGATATATGTAGAAACATTTCTTGATTTATTAGTGTTATTCAGTATCTGTTGGCCTTCCATTGGATCAATGGAGAAGTCTTGATTTGTGCAGTCTCCTTCATGCTAATCTGGGCTCCAGCTTTCTTCTAGCAAGTACCCTACTCTGAAACACTGAAGTGACCTTTTATAAAGGTCTCTTTTCTGGTTCTTTGACTTATTTATGGTGTAGAATCATTCTGCTGTGATCTTCTGGTCAGTGCTTTACGGTTGCAAATTCATGTATATTTAATTCATACTACCTACCTCGTATTACAAATGGTTGACTGGGGGTTCTTTTGCCCCATCTGGATACAAATTACGGATAGGCAAGAGGCAGCATTCTTAGCGTTGATAGTCCTGAGTTCCAGAGACTTACAGGCTGGGCTTCTTAAAGCCCTAAGCCCTGAGAACCAGAGGTTTATCAGCCTGTGGCCAGAGTCACAGCTGTTCAGCCTTAGGTGTCGGTACCCTGGGGTTTTTATCCCTTTGTGGCTCTTTTGAACTCTTCTTGGACTGGAGCTTGCAGTACTCATAGCCTTGCTCCCACCTTTGACTGTTCACAGCCTCTCGTCTTCCATAATCTCAGCTTCTCCATCATCTCTCGCCTTCACAATACTTCCACATGTTCTTAGCTTCTTGCGGATTCTGCCCTTGGTTGCTCTCTAGAAATCTTTAGCTGCCTCCTAGTGCTGTAGTTCAGAGCTTTGGTTATTGGGCACTTAACTCTTGGTGGCTCTCTGGAATTCTTCATCTTCTTCCTTGCTTCTAATGGAACTCCTCATTGTGTGTGTGTGTATATTTGTTGGTTTCTTTGTTTTTTTTTAAACCTATTAGGCTATAAATTATTTGTACAAAGGAGTTTCATTGTGTCCATACATGCAAATAACGTTCTTTGATCAAACTCACCCTCCTCCTCTATTGATTTCTTATCCCACTTCTCCAATCCTTCTACCCCCAATCTCTTCCCTTATTTTATGGTTTTTAGTCTGCTTTTCATGCAATCATCTCAGCCTCCTCTACCCATGATAAACACCACAAGTAGGGAAAAGACAATTTGGGAGAAGCCTGTATTAGAACCTAATGTTGCAACACTGGGGTGTAGGTAATACATGGTAGAGAAGCCTCCTAGACTAACCTGACAAGAGTGGCAAACAGCCTTCTTACAAAGCCAGAGGAGAGGTATGGGACACTGGTGCATGAATTGTAAGTTTCACCAATCATAGCACAGTTTCCAGTTCCACACTCATAAGCTTTATACAAGGGCCAATTATGAGCCTTGTATAAGCACAGCCTCTTTTAGTCAGTCACAAGTTTTTTGCTTAGTCACAAAGGGAAGTGCTTTTCCTCCTTCCTAACTAATTGAGGATTTGGTACAAGGTCCTGAGCAGACAGGAGTGTGGTCCTCTGGAGCAGCTGCAGGTGAGGTTATGCGGAGGTCACCAAGGTGTATCATGACTAAAGTGAAAGTTTGTGGTACTTGTACAAGCAGTGGCAGTTGTGATTGGAACAAGGTGTCATGAAGCAGAGGTTGTAGCCTCTGCAGCCAGCCACCAAGGTTGCAGTGTTCCTTGTACTGGAGTATAGTTTCAAAGTAACTGAATCTTCAAAAAAAGAGTACTAGTTTGACAGCTCCTTGCTCAAGGCAGCTGGGCAGGAGGAAAGCTTCAAAGGGTCAAATTGGCCCAGCCCCCAACAACTTAGATTATCTGAAAGAAAGGTAAACTAAAGGGTGCTTACAGTAAAGATCTATCATTAACATTAATATCCCTAATAGTACTTAACAGTGTTTAACTCTTAACCAAATACCCTCAGGGAGAGTTGGGTTCCTCTTATCTGTCTCACTTAGAGGGTAAGAATTATCATCTTCCATTTTATAGATGGGAAAGTAGAATCTTATTGTGGTGAATAATTTTCCCATGGTGATGCATCTTCTGAATCACAAACTCTACTAGATCATCAGACAACACATCCTTCTGTTTCTGCTATTGTTATTTTTACCTAGGAGCCAAAAGTCCCTATTTCCTTATCTCAGTTAATATATTTGTTTTATTTTTCTGTATACTGCTAAAGGCAGAAGGATATGGGATGGTATAGTGAGAAAACTAGGCATAACATCTAGTTCTTCTGTAGGGATTGAGTTCCCAAACAGAGACATCATCCTCAGACCATCTACCTAGTTTCATCTGATCAGCAGCATCCTTAAAAGGACCAAATGGGACTCAAAAGCTACTTTGGGACTTGTAGAAGTATTGCACAAAATTTCCTAGAAATTATCAGGTTGTTAATAAAAAAAAATAAAATCAGAAACTGTATATAAATTAGAGGATCAAGGGACCCCCTTGATATATCATTGGTTTTCTGCTAAGGGCAAACCTCAGTTAATTCTCTCTCAGGTCAGTGTTGATGGATCAAAAGAGGAAGGTCATAATCTGACTCAGATGGAAAGTATTTATGGGACAAAACATAAAACACTTCACAGACCCACACTTGTCTTCAGCCCTCAGAATACGTTCCAGCCAGGATGTATTTAGAGGTCTCTGGGAATATTTCAAAGTACTTCTCAGGCAGGCAGGAACACAATTCTTGAAGGTTCTCCTTTTCCCATCGTTTGAATTTTGCTGATGCTTGTTTTTTAATTCATCAGGCAGTTGGATTATTTATGTGTGTCGACTGAGGTGGTGAAGACTAGGGAGACCAGGAGAGGAGGGAGGAAAACATTGCAGAAAAAGGGCAGACAGGGCTGGGTGAAGGATTACTGTGTTCCCAAAGGGAAGGCAAAGAGGGAAAGGGCTGCATTTAGAGTTTATCCTTTAAGTTACAAGTTTACAAGTATTCTAAATACCACCTTTCCATGCTGCCTTGTCAACCTAAGCCTCATCTGAGTGGCTTATTTTGGAATTTAGATTTTAGAGATTAGCAAAAGGAGTGGATATTATCTTTTCCAGTTTGCCTAGATTCTAGAGCAAGGTCAGTAAGATCATTAGCACAAGGCCAAGCAAATGCACGTTTGGTTGCTGGTTCTCACTAGTCTAAGAGTAGTCAGAGCTGGGGGTAAGACTTTCTGATAGACAAAAGCAGACCTTTCCTCTTTAACCAAGAGTTACAACAATATTTCTCAAATTCATTAAAAAAAAATCGCACCCTAAGGGGCTTTTCTAAAGCTTCCTTTTGTCCTAAGAAACCCTATCCTCCCATGACATTTTGACACCACAAATACACTGTCCATCCATTTGTGTATTATGACCTTTTGTAAACCATTGTAATCATGTAAAATTGTCTTATGCTGCAAGAATCAAGTTTTGCCCTCTAATGGTGATAATGTTGACACTGTCTGCATCTTATGTTTTGACAGGATTTTATACCTGGAATTTATAAGTTAATTACTATTATTGACTAAAAATACACAGGCTCTTCCTTGGTTCATTGACACAAGATAAAAAAGGGAAGGAAGGAAGGAGGGAGTGAGGGAACTTAAATTAACAGAACCTATAACACCTTCTAAACATTTTCACATCCATTATCGTTTATTTATCCTTTTTCTGGAAGATAAGTATTTTCACTTCATTTTCTATGTGGACTAAGAGAGGTTTTGAATTTGCCCATAGTAACAAAACTGAAGTGGAATTTAACAACCCATATTGTTTCCTTTGCTACCTCCTTGGTTGCCTAAGTCCGTATGGGTAATTGTGCTCGGGCAGCGGGTTATAGCTGATAGCTTAAGGTGATCAGAGCAGGACGGGGGCTGCCTTTGCCGCCACAATTGCTATTATGTCCAAAAATTCTTCTTGCTCTGAAACTGCTTTAAAATGTATTTCCAAATGGTCTGGTGGAGTGGCTCAGGTGGTAGAGTGCTTGCCTAGCAAAGTGTAAGGCCCTGAGTTCAAATCCTAGTACCACCCCCACAAAATAAAGAAAGAAAGAATAAAATGTATTTCCTAAAATGGTAACAGGAACACTAAATACCCAACCTTGGAAAATTCATTATTTTCATGTTTATTATTTTCTTTCCTATCCTTCCCCAAACACAGACATGACTTTTACCAAGTTGCAATGAGGGCTTTTACTAATGTACGATAAATGTGTTTATTGGGCATCCATACTCTTCTTAGTCATTTCTTTTAATTCATTAGAATACTATATTAATGCATTAAATAAGGAAATTAATGAATTTCCCTGTTTTGAATTACTAGATTTCTTCCAATTGCTTACTGTTATCAATAGTGTAATAATAAGCATCTCCACGCATATAGATTTTCTTCTACCTTCAGGGTAAGTCCCTGGTAGTCAGTTGTTAGGGACAAAGTATAAAGTCATTTTTAGGGTCCTTGAAAAATATTCCCAGGTTGTTTTCCAATAGGGTTGTATTTCTTTATCTAAATTACTCAAACTACACATTAGAATTGTTTTGAAGACTTGTTATTTTGGTAGGGAAAAAAGTATCATATGGTTGCTAGCTTGTGCTTCTTCCTTTTTTTCTTTTTTTTTAGCTTGTGTTTCTTTGATAGCTTGTGAAGTTGTGTAGAATATTAGAATCCAAGGCTATTTCATGCCATCTGTTGGGGATGTCATTACTTCTATCTCATGTAAAACTAATGATCTTTCGTTTCTCATAGGACTCCCTCCTCCAAGAGGTCTCAGTCTCTTACCTAAAAGTCAGACCACACTAAATTTGACCTGGCAGCCAATATTATCAAGCTCAGAAGATGGATTTTATGTTGAAGTAGAGAGGAGGTCTGTGCAAATAAAAAGTGATCAGCAGAATATTAAAGTGCCAGGCAACCTGACTTCTGTGCTGCTCAACAACTTGCAACCCAGGGAGCAGTATGTAGTGCGAGCCAGAGTCAACACCAAGGCCCAGGGGGAATGGAGTGAAGACCTCACAGCTTGGACCCTTAGTGACAGTAAGTAACTTGTGTGGCTCTGACTCTGGCCTCGCCTGAACAACACTTGGCTGCTGCCACTGAACCTAGCTTTTATCATTCTAAGACTGGTTCTTAGAAATAATAAAAGGTGCTGTCACCCATGGTTCACGCCTGTAATCCTAGCTACTCAGGAGGCATAGATCAGGAGGATTGCAGTTCAAAGCCATCTTGGGCAAATAGTTCGAGAGAGACCCTGTCTCGAAAAACAAACAAACAAACAAACAAACAAACAAAAAAACCTTCACATAAAAGGTCTGGTGGAGTGGTTCAGGGTCCTGAGTTCAAGCCCCAGTACAATAATAATAATAATAATAATAATAATAATAATAATAAAAGGCAGTTCGTTGTGAATGGATGCTAATGAGTGTCTACCAAATTATTTTAATAACCTACAATGTATAAGAAATCTCCATTTGGATTTGCTGTGATTTCAGCAGTGCTAAAATTTACCTTTCTTTGGTATGAAGTTATTTATGAACTAATTAGTAAGAGTTTCCAGGGCTGTTTAATCAGCTGTAGGACAGTTCTTAAGATTAAAAATGTATTCATATATACATGGATGCCAACTAATGATGGATGAGGTTTTCCTGATCAACTTTGCTTGAAAAGCCTTCATAACAGATGGTGTGTGTGTGAGTCAGTGAGTGAGGGAGATGATGAAGTGGGGGGGGGGGGGAGGGAAGAAGAGAGGGAGAAGGAGAAAGAGAGGGATTAGAGAGGAGAGGAAAGGAGATTGAGTAATAAAGCCACTTTTCAATATTCTACAGTTCAGGCTTGTCTATATTTCATATGGTCACTTAAAGTTAGTTGGACTTCTCAGGTTTCATTGTAATATTGAAAGTCTTTTCATCATTAAGCAGTAAATTCTGTTTTATTTTACCAGATTAGAACTGTGTCCATGCATTTTGGAGCCCTTGCAAAGATGAGATACCTCTTGCCATACTAACTACCCCTTAAGTCAGGGTCATATGGTCAATGTCAACCCTCAAAGCCTGAGGGTGTCCTCACTAACAGGTGTGGAGGCTGGCAGTGTTTCTCCAGCTGCTTTTTTTTTTTTTGCATCAGTGACTGAACAGTTTTGTCAGTGTTTAGGGATTATTCATATATATGTACATATGTATATATATACACATATACATATATATGTATAAATATATATATTTATGTGAAATTTATAAGTTATAGAATCATGCAAAGACTAATACAATAAATATTCACATTCCTACCACCCATAATTAATAAGTGTGAGCCCTGTTATATTTGCTTTCAGCATTTTTGTTGGCTTAAAGAAGTGATAACACAATACACATATATTAAAGTCCCCTATGACCATCCTCACTATTCTGTTTCTATTCCCCTCTCCCCAGAGACAACCAAAAGTATGAGTTTATTATGTGTCTTTCCATTCATTGTTGTATAATACATATATATCCATAAGTGTACATATGTATATAAGCCATTCTTTATCCTTTTCTGAATAAACATAATTATTTATCTGTTAATTTATTTAGAAGTGATGTATGCTTTTTAAACTCCTGTATGATATTCTATCTTGTAAATATACCATGGCATTTAGCCTTTCCATTTTAGATGGACATTAGGTTGTCTTCATTTTATTACTATCAAAAATAAAAATACAATAGCCGTTATTACAGGTCCGCATGTACGGAAGGGGAAAGCTTTTCTAGGGAGCATGACCTGAAGTGACCTTTGTGCACAATGTTACTCAATGTGTCTGTGCTCAGAAGCATGAGAGCACTATTTTTCCTTCACCCATCTCTGTATCTAGTTCCTTTCCCTATGCTTACATCTCTTGCTACTTTCAGTCCTTTTTAGTTTTGCCAATTATAGAGAAAAAAAGATACATCCTTATTCATTTCAGTTTTCATTGCCTCCATAAGTAGTAAGGTTGAACATCTTATGTCCATAGGTTATTTGCATTTTCTACTTTTTTGATATATACTTCTTATTATTTGCTTGTTCCCTATAGGTTGTCTTTCTTACTGATTGGTAAAAATTATTTTGATAATCTGGACACTATTCTTTTTGTGTACATTGCAAATCTATTCCCTTACTCCCTTTATTTCAGCCTGGTTGTGATGGTGTTTTCCCCACACTCTCCCTCCGACCTGTCAGTGCTTGTCTTTATGGTTGTAGCTTATTGTATTTTGGATTATTCCCTATGGCAAGGTCATAAGTATATTCTCTGTGTTTTTTCTAGTAGTTCACTATTTTGTTTAACATATTTAGGTCTTTAAGATGTAGAAATGTTGGGGGTACAGTGTATTTAATATACCCAGGGTCTCCCACATGCTAAGCAAGCACTCTGTCACTGAGCTACATCTTCAGTGCCAAATTATTATTTTTGATACAGTCTTGCTATGTTGTCCAGGCTAGCCTCTGATTCTTGGGTTCAAGCAATCCTCTCACTTCAGCCTCCCAAGTAGCTGGGACTATAGGCACAGACCACTGTGCCTAGCTGGCTTATTTCTTCACGCTAGCAATCTAATCATCCCAATGCTGTATATTGAATAGTTCCCCTTGTGATGTCTTCTGTGTCATACACTGAGTTCTGTTATTCATTTTGAATCTATTTCTGGGCTCTCTGTTTTTTCCAACTGATCTGTGTTTGTTCTTGTACCATTTGCTGCCTGTTTAAATTAGCTACATATTTTTGTGAAATGTCTTGGTAACTATAGAGTGAGCAACCATTTTCTTTTCCAAAAGTATGTTGTGTTCATTCACTATTCTATGTAAACTTTTGCCTATTGGGATTATACACTATCAAAACCATCCTATCTGATTCATATTCATAGAACTGAACAAAGACTAGCTAGAGTCTCTGTAAATGGGCTTGGCTTGGGCGACTATGTGACATTCAACAAAAGGTATTTTATGCTGGGGTGGGTACAGAAATGCTGAGAATGGCAGGGTAGGAGTTTGGTCTCTAAAAGGTCAGGAAATCAGGGCAAAGAGGAAGTGAATGAGATTATTTCAATTTTAACTGACTTGGTTTGGTGGGTAGTTCTTGGGTTTGAACTCAGGGACTCATGCCTGCTAGGCAAGTGCTATAGTACTTGAGCCATGCTTTAGTTTGTCTTTAGATAGGATATTATAGTTTTGCCTGAGCTGGCCTCAGACCACAATCATCCCACCTCTGCCTCCCTAGTAGTTGGCTTTATAGATGTGTACCACAACACCTAGCTTGTTTTCTGAGATAGAGTCCCAACAACTTTTTTTTTTTTAACCAGAGCTAGCTTTGAACCATCTCCACCTCCTAAGTAGCTGAGATTACATGTGTGCCACCATGCCTGGCCCTTAACTGATGTATTTGTTAATATGCTGTGTTGTTATTGATTGATTTCATGTAAAGATTTTTCAGAAGTAAACTTAATGCTTCTAGTTATAAAGTTTGTGTTGGTTTACCAGCCTAGCAATTCCATTTGTTACAGATATAAAAAGTGAAATGAATTAATCAGTACCTAACCTCAAATATATGTAAAAATAATATATACGTATAATGTACATATAAACATTTATATGTAGAGTATTTGTCCCTTAAAGGGACTTTATGAGGAAAGGAGAGTAAGAATTGCCATATTTAACAGATGCACAAAGGTGGGTCTAAGTGTCTCCCAAAGCTACACAGTTGGTGAGTCATGCAGGGGTCTGCAAGGCATAGCTGGGTTTTGTGCTGAGAAGACCACTGGTTTCTGAAGCTGGAATTTTTTGAGGCACAACTATACAAATATTAAATATGTGCTCACAGTACTCTGAAAATGTTAGTATTTTATTACTATGTAATCTCCTTCTGGGAAGGAAGGCTCCTTTATATTTTTATAAAAACATGCACAAAGCTTGGTAATGGATGCACAGGAAGTTACATACTGTTGATTAATTAATTGTGATTTGGGATAAATTACCACCTGCTAGACATAGAAAGTAATCAGCTCTGAAAGGTTCAAAATCACATAGCTAATTCTCATATCTTTCCGTGGTTGCCTAAGTTAATGATATGGGGAATGGATATGATGGAAAGAGGAAATTTAGAATGAACAAGAATCTCAGAGAATTTTGGATAGAAAGAATGTAATTTGAGACACATCTTGAAGATTCTAATTTGCTTCTAAGCAGTACCTTTCATATGGAAAGCAATGGTATGCACATACCGGATCTACTAATTGCTTATTTTGACCTATGCAAGTCCCTTAAGTTAATGAAGCTGTAGTTTTCTCACCTCTAAAACTGGATAATAGAATCGTCATCTCTGATTATCTATCTGCCTGTGTAAGCATAGGGTCTACATGGAAACACACTATAAACAGCCTAACTTCTCTCTAGCTCGTGTCCTTAGGAAAGGAGTCCCAGTGACAATGCAGCTTTGATTCTGTGCATGTTCATTTTCACACCTGGAAACCCCAGAGCATCTTTCTCTCTCATCCTGCCTGTGTCCTGTGAATGCAATGTGATCTCACTTTTCCCCAAACCCATACAGCACTTTCACCATGAAGTGCTTTACACATTTTCTCATATACACACTGGCTTACCTACTGCTCCATAAATGTATTTAGGGTAAAGACAGGTCATATGGCATAGTGACTAAGATGATTGACTATGTACTCAGACTGTCAGAGCTGAATCTTTTTCTTCGTAATAGTGGTGTTACCTTGGTTAGACTACTTAATCCCTCTATGTATCAATACTTATAATGAGATTGTAAGGAAAAGGAAATGAGTTAATATATGGAGTTAACACCTGGCATTTTGTAATACTGTTTAACTCTCAGCTCCCCTAATCTTTTCATTCCAGCCAGCATCAAGAACAGTGAATAGGCTTGTGGAGTAGCAGAATTTCTGAGGTCTTTCTTTAGTGTAAGGAGACAGATAGGCGATATAGCATCGCCATTTCCCTCCCTGTGCCAGTCTTTCGAGTCTGCGTGGAGTTCAATACCACTACCAGCGGACTGGAGTTGTCATCTGAGAAAATACCTGTTTTCATTCATGGTTTATGAGCTGACAAGAACTTTCTCAAAAGCACAGTCATCTATGAAATGGTAGTATATCTTAAGTGAATTCTTTTTTAAATTTCTAGTTCTCCCTCCTCAACCAGAAAACATCAAGATCTCCAACATCACAGACTCCTCGGCTGTGATTTCTTGGACAATACTGGATGGCTATTCTATTTCTTCTATTATCATCCGTTACAAGGTTCAGGGCAAGAATGAAGACCAGCACATCGATGTGAAGATCAAGAATGCCACTATTACTCAGTATCAGCTCAAGGGCCTAGAGCCTGAGACAGCTTACCAGGTGGACATTTTTGCTGAGAACAACATAGGATCAAGCAACCCATCTTCTCATGAACTGATGACCCTCCCAGAATCTCAAGGTCTGTAGAATGGAATTTACACAGAGTATTTTTGGACAGCATCAGAAAAGCCCCACTATTTTTAAGATATTTATCCCATAAGTGAGTCAAATAACATAATTCGTTTGTCCTGATAGGCTTTGCCATCTCTGTACAGCTCCTTAAATTTAAAATGCCCTTGGACAGGATCCTGATGATCCATTTCCTGTTATTAAGCCTTAGGATAAATTGGCCTAAAGCACTCTCAGCCCGACAACCCAAGAAAACTCTACAACACGAATTTTGGTTCTGTAGAGAAAGGGGAATGTGGAACCTGTTTCGGGGGGGTGGGGCAAGGGGGAGGCAGATGCAGGCACCACGGAGGGAAGCTCCCAGAGTTGCATTCCATTCTTTCTCAAAATGATCTCTTTTTTTAGCTTGGCTGGCACTATGTATTCTGAGATTTCTGCTACTTTTCTAACTTATTAGATTTTCATGTTCACCTCCAACTCATATGCCAGAGAAAATCACCTCTTTGAAATGGAGATCCTCCCAGAGTGCCATGTGTACTATGTTCCCTGTTTGTGAACGATAAAACTTGTTGAATGTAATTAAGTGAACAAGGACCCCGGTCTAAGTGGAGCTGCATATGAGGTCAACTCCAACTCCGTACAAATGGTGCCTCCTGGTGCTCTGCAATTAACTATGTGTGCCAGGGAATGTAGACAGAAGGACATTAAAGGGAGAGGCAATGTTTGCAGATTTGTAATCTGGACTGGAGTCTACTTTTCCAGAAAATCTTATAGCACTAGAAACTTCTTGATTCTTTTGGAGGGTCACCTGCCATTTAAGAAATAAAATAAAATATACTGTGGTTTTCATTTCTGACTCTGAAAAATTTTTAAAATATCCAAGAAATGATGCTTCTGCCCATTATTACAGAGACTTGTTTTCAGATCACACTCTTAATAAATGCCCAATTTTTATAATTACCGTGTCTTGGTAAAATGTACATAGGTATTATATCTGAGCTATACACAAAATACAAAGAGAAAAATTTAAAAACAAGGCACAAAACAAAAAGTCCTAACCATTCCAGATGTCTCTGTATTTGTACTGCATAGAAGGAATTATAGGAAAACACAGAAGGATAATTTTTGAAGTGATCAATGTGCTGATATTAACAAAACATTGAGTTTAATCTGTTTTAAATTTAAGGGAAAGAACTAGAAGAATTAGATCATAGTCTTTAATAGTTTATTTTAACCTGAGCCCTAATTTAATAATTTTTTACTCTTTTTCTTGTCTCTCCTTCCCTCCCTCTCTTGGGTATCCTTGTTTGGAAACAAACAGAAAAACAGAACAGAACAAAAATCCCTTATGCACTCTAAGCTGTTAGTATCAGAGAACATTAAAACATTTCTGGAATTGGGAGACTGAGGTGCACAGAGATCTGATCTCTCCAAGTCATACATGAAGTTCGCCATTCTCATCATTATTCAGTAATGTTAACCTACTTGGAATTAAAGTTGAACAAATGACATCAACTCATGGTTAGCATATTGCCATTTTAAAAGCACATTTGTGGGCTGGGTTGTGACTTAAGTGATAGAGCATCTATCTGCCTAGCAAATGCAAAGTCCTGAATTCAAACCCCAGCACTTCCAAAATAAATAAATAAATAAAAGCACACTTGTACACATCTTTAAAAAAGAACTTATAATAGCCTTGTGATTTATTTCCACTGAATTTCAGAAAATAAAGGCGTGGCAAAGGTCAGAAGGTGGTAGGCTAGCTGTAACAGTTCTGTTTTGTATAGGCTTGGCTCATCTGTCTACCTAAACTAACTCAGCTGCTTCACCTCTGTTCTCCTTCACAGCCTCAGCAGACCTCGGAGGAGGGAAGATGCTGCTTATAGCCATCCTTGGCTCAGCAGGAATGACTTGCCTGACAGTGCTGTTGGCTTTTCTGATCATGTTGCAACTGAAGAGAGCAAATGTCCAAAGGAGAATGGCTCAAGCCTTCCAAAACGTGGTAGGGTCTCGTATTCTTACAAGCTAGTTAGGGCAAGTCCACACATACAGGCAGAAACTTTGGACTTTTTTGGAGGTCACTGGAGTTTGAACTCAGGGTCTTGGACTTACTCCAGCCCTTGGCAGAACCTTTTCTTTAAGAATTCGACTGGTGACTGCACTTGCACAGTAATTCATTTCCATAGGCAAGTCTTATTTTCTCTTTGCTTTCCATTATAAAATGGTAAGTGGATAACATGACTATGTACTTTCTTATCCAATCCGGAACAATTCTGAGAGAGAAAAGGTTATACTTAGTAAATATGCAGAAAACCAGTACTGCTCTCTCCTCCACCCCCAAAATGTGATATATATGTGTCACCTGCGAGGATAATCTTTCAAAAGAGTTAATTAAGCATTTTTGCTAAGGAAGGACATGAGGGTAACCTGACTTCAACAGGATACCAAATGATGTGCTGTATGAACACGATTCCCCACATTTTCCTATTCTGTGTTCCCACTTCCTGCTTTTGACATCTCCCTCAATCCATCAACCCTCATACATGCAAGAGTTATATACATGTGTGTCTCTCTCATTCCTAACAACAGCCTGCAGTCAGAGTTTGTAGTGCTTGGTACTGCCTCCTTTTTTGTTTGTTTTGGTTGTACTGGGGTTTAAACTCAGAGCCTTGTGCTTGGTAGGCAGGCCCTCTACCACCTGAGCCATGTGTCTGGCCCTTTATTTTTCCCTTTAGGTTATTTTCCAGATAGGGTCTCATCTATCTGTTTTTTGCCTCCTCTAGCCTCAGAATGTGATTCCCCTGTTTATAATACCTCTTGCCTAGCTGAGATTACAAATGTGTACCACCATGCCCAGATTATTTGTTGAAATGAGTTTCATTAACTTTTTGCCTAAGCTTGCCTTGGACTACAATGCTCCCAGTCTCTGTCTCCCAGTACCTAGGATTGTAGGAGTGAGCCTGTATGCCTGGCCCCTGCCTCATTCTTTTACCTAGGAATTTTGACTAGATTTTGCTATCCCATTTGAGTCCCTTTGGTATACTAAATCCTGTAGCTTATGATTTCAAGCTCTGTAGAATTATTTTGTACAAAATAATTTTATCAATTCTATATGTAAAACACTGAGCACATGACATGTTTCAAGTGAGGTTTGCCTTCATGTGCCTGAAACCCCAAGATTCCCTTCCATGAAGACAAGAGAAACTTCATTGTCTGGCTCCATGCCAGAGCTGGCTGAACTCAAGCTGTCACTGGAGAGGAAGGATCAATGAGGGGGTTGTAAGTTCGGGAGATTGTCATGATGCCAATGCTTTGTCAAAACACTGTCAGGAGCTATTTGAATTCAGGATAATGAGACACAGCATGCCAGGTTTTTGCTGTAAGCATCTGTCACCCTCGGGCCAGAGTGGGCTTATGAGACTCTAAACTTTAGACTGGGAGAGAGTGAAAGCACAAGTAGAGCAGAACCAAGACGATGCAAGGAAGCCGCTCTTTCCACATTCTGTGCCTACTCCACATAGGCTCTGCAAGCTATTTTCCAAACTAGAACTGCACTTGCTAATTGCAGAGCTGAGTGCAAAACTTTTTTTTTTTATTCATATGTGCATACAAGGCTTGGGTCATTTCTCCCCCCTGCCCCCACCCCCTCCCTTACCACCCACTTCGCCCCCTCCCTCTCCCCCCTACCCCCTCAATACCCAGCAGAAACTATTTTGCCCTTATTTCTAATTTTGTTGAGAAGAGTATAGCATAATAGGAAGGAACAAGGGGTTTTGCTGGTTGAATAAGGATAGCTATACAGGGAGTTGACGCACATTAATTTCCTGTGCGTGTGTGTTACCTTCTAGGTTAATTCTTTTTGATCTAACCTTTTCTCTAGTTCCTGGTCCCCTTTTCCTATTGGCCTCAGTTGCTTTTAAGGTATCTGCTTTAGTTTCTCGTGTAAGGCAACAATGCTAGCTAATTTTTAGGTGTCTTACCTATCCTCACCCCCTCCCTTGTGTGCTAAAGCTTTTATCATGTGCTAAAGTCCAATCCCCTAGTTGTGTTTGCCCTTGATCTAATGTCACATATGAGGGAGAACATACGATTTTGGTCTTTTGGGCCAGGCTAACCTCACTCAGAATGATGTTCTCCAATTCCATCCATTTACCAGCGAATGATAACATTTCATTCTTCTTCATGGCTGCATAAAATTCCATTGTGTATAAATACCCATTTCTTAATCCATTTGTCAGTGGTGGGGCATCTTGGCTGTTTCCATAACTTGGCTATTTGATAGTGCCGCAATAAACATGGGTGTGCAGGTGCCTCTGGAGTAACCTGTGTCACAGTTCTTTTGGTATATCCCCAAGAGTGGTATTGCTGGATCAAATGGTAGATCGATGTCTAGCTTTTTAAGTAGCCTCCAAATTTTTTTCCAGAGTGGTTGTACTAGTTTACATTCCCACCAACAGTGTAAGAGGGTTCCTTTTTCCCGCATCCTTGCCAACACCTGTTGTTCGTGGTGTTGCTAATGATGGCTATTCTAACAGGGATGAGGTGGAATCTTAGTGTGCTTTTAATTTGCATTTCCTTTATTGCTAGAGATGGTGAGCATTTTTTCTGAGTGCAAAACTTAACTATGACAATTTGGAGATGCAAACGCATGGTAATGTACTCTTGTGCTTTCACTCTCACCATTTTGGGCATTGCTAAATGGGCAACCTTTTCCACTGAACTATGACATTTTGGAGAATGCAAACGCATGTAATGTACTCTTGTGCTTTCACTCTCACCATTTTGGGCATTGCTAAATGGGCAACCTTTTCCACTGAGGCCCAGATTTGCACTCATGTAGTTGTGCAGGTTCATCAGAGTAAACTTGTGAGATGAAACATGCTTCCATTTCCATTCTAAAACTAGATATGCTATTTCTTATTTTTTTTTCACCTGGTGTGGATACAAAGCAAAAGATATTATGCATCATAGAATAATAAAAAAAAATCGGGACATTAAAATGAAGAAAAAAAATTATCTTTCCAGAGGGAAGAACCAGCTGTGCAGTTCAACTCAGGAACCTTGGCCCTGAACAGGAAGGCCAGAAACAACCCGGATCCCACAATTTATCCAGTACTTGACTGGAATGACATCAAATTTCAAGATGTGATTGGGGAGGGCAACTTTGGCCAGGTTCTTAAGGCACGCATCAAGAAGGATGGGTTACGGATGGATGCCGCTATCAAGAGAATGAAAGGTCAGTGGCTAGACAGTCAGTCAACGCTTCACTTGGGTGGGGAAAAGACATGATTTCCTCTTGAATCTTACTCTATGGCCTGACATTCTTTAAACCAAGTGTCCCGGTGTAAGATGTGACTGTTATATGCCACTGATGGTCATGCTTACTTTGAGATTGAGCCTGTAATAGCATCCAGATATTGATATGGAGGACGAAGGCAAGAGCCATTCAATTATCACTGTCTCGATTCCTGGGGACCTGGGAATGTTGATTCTCTGCCATAGACTGCTAACTTTTGGGGGGCATCATTTTTTCTCAAAATGTAATGGTTCTTAAAATTAAGCATACATCAGAATCATCTGGTAAGATTGTTCAAAAACAGATTGTTGGGCCCTGCCCTTCAGTTTCTGATTCAGTAAGTCTGAGCAGGGCCAGAGAATTTACATCTCTGATTAATTTCCAAGTCAGGCTGAACCTGTGGGTTTGGAGACCACACTTTTTGAACCACAGTCTATTCATAGGTTATCCCCATTGAAATTCCTGCAACATTGTTAGAACTGCACACACTGTTCTTCTCTCACTCTCAATTCTACATTCAAACTTTCGGGATGGTATAGGAGAATGCGTGCTTTAAACAAACTTCCTTAATAACTCCTCTGTATGTCCAAGTGTGAAAAACACTGACCTAGCATCACAAGAATTATGCCCTTTCCAGCTGTGTTAATCTCAAACTGAGTGGTACCTACCTTTTACTAATTTTGGATGATAAACATCTAAGAAAGCAGAACAATGAGCTCATTGACAGCATGGCTGTCTCTCCTTCTGTGAGAAAGGCAGTTTGTGCATGACTTGGCTGTGAAACTGCCTGATAATTTTACAGCAAATGTGCTTGAAGAGTGAGGCCTCAGAGCAAGAATGTGGTGACCGCTGTTGCTGCTGCTGCTGTACAGATCCACCTCGAGGACTCTCGAGACTGATGGGTTTGCCTTCTTTTTGACTGCAGTATTGAACCTAAGATGAGAATTAACTCGGAACCTTCTTAAATCACCAATGCTTTCTACATTGTTAGGAATTCCACATCAGGAAACAAAACAAAATATTATCTATTCTTAGAGATTGCAATACATTTCTTAAAAACTGCAAACAAAACCCCCTTGCTTAATAGTCAGAAATCTCTTTTCTGTGTGCAATTTTAGTTCCAGGGAGTTTGGGAACAGTGAAAACAGTAGAGAAGTTGGTGCAGAAGCTTCTGAAGTCAGTTCTTATTAAGATTTATCTTTAGCCTGTTTTTTTTTTTTTTAAATCTCATTCCATGTGAAGAGATAGAGTAACTTAATAAAGAGCTATGGCAGAAAATTTCTGCAGGCAGAGTGACGCACCCAAGGAACTTCCTGCAGTGAAGGCACGACCTCATTCTATGGAACTTCATTTTAAAAATGCTGCTCAGGCATTGAGCCTCAGGGCCAGAGCCACAGCGAGGCTCCCACAGTAGGAACAGAACACTGAACTTGAATTTCCTATCAGTCAATTTTACAGGTCCCATTAACCCACCTGAGATGTTGCTACACTATCCAAGCATGTTCAAAGTATGGACACAGCCACCTGCACCCCATTCCCACCCTCCCCCCCACTGTTATTTTTCAAAAAATAGTGATGGCACACTGTCCTTCCTTCAAAGCGGATCCATCGGTCTGTGCACCCATGGGCAGCCTCCTCACTAGTCTGGTACCTGGGGTTCTCCTTCTGACCTTGGTGCCAGGAAAGACACAGCAGAAAAATAGAAAATGCAACTCAGCATCCTGACTATACAACTTCTATAAAATGCCAGTGAGAGTTGATTTGTCTAGCAACACTGGTTTGTTAAAAAGTAAGTTAAAATTATTGGGTAAAGTAAGTCATGCATGATGTTGATGTTTTGCTGAAACTTTGGTTCTGCTCCTTAGCTACTTGTCCCTGAATGGTAGGTTTAGCTGGACGAGCTACAGTCTGAAAATTGGGAAAGCTCCACCTCTACCAAGTCATTTCCTTGAGTATTTAATAGTTAAGCAAGAAAACTTTAGAATAGTGGTTCTTATCCTGGGGTGATTTTGTCCCTTGGGGGACGATGTGGCAATGTCTGGAATACATTTTTGGCTGGTGTACTGCAGTCTACTAGGTGAAGGTCAGGAATGCTATTAACCATCCTACAGTGCCTAGGACAGTGTCCCCAATAACAAAGAACTATCAGCCCAACAGGGCTGAGGATGTGGAGCCCTGATTTTTGGTACCAGTTTTCTAGACTTGATGGTGACTTGAATACATGTGGAGGTTCTAGGGAAAAGACAGCTGGAGCTAAAATGGTTTAATGATGAGGGATCACAATTCTTGACTTCATTTGCAGAATATGCCTCCAAGGATGACCACAGGGATTTTGCAGGGGAACTGGAGGTTCTTTGTAAACTTGGACACCATCCAAATATCATCAATCTCTTGGGAGCATGTGAACATCGAGGTAAATGCTCTTTTCTTGCTTTTCACAGGCATATCCCATACTGAAGATGACTATCTTAAGAATGCTACCTATTTTTTTTACATTGCAGTTTCAGTCTGAATGTCTCCCTCTTCCCATTTATGGATTGTGCTAAGGTTTGCCATCTTTTTGGAGGTGGGTGTGGAGGCTGGGTTATTTGGCCTCTCATGGGGTTTGGCCATTACTACCCAAGGATATCCACAGCTCCTACTACACTCATCCTCACTTAACCACTGTTTTTCTCAACTACTATTACTACTAGGGGTGTGTCAGGAGCCCTTACCACCAGAAAAAATGGAATGCACTGGTTCTTTATTGTCTCCCTTCCCATTTCCTTGAAACTCAAGGAACTGGAATTCTGAAGGTTGCTATCATGAATACCAATAATGTACTGTAATATGAAAACACTGATGATGCTTAAATAATAATCTTATATGTTATAGATCTTTGTTTTGATCCAAAGTGTTCATGCACAATAATATTGGGATTTTACAACTATTCCATATTTCACATACTTTTAAATACGCATTCAAATATTTATTGTGTGTACTAGTTACTGACGTGTGTGTAATAAACTATGAATGAGTAGGTCAAGGTCACAAAAAGATCTTTTACACGTTTGCCTCTGCATGCCACATGGGTTTGTAGTTCTGAATCTATATTTACACTTAATTTCTCATGGAATATTTTGCTCCCACAATAAAAGCTCCGTGCAGTAATTATTTATAAACTTGACAACCTTTTGTTGACTTTATAACAAAAAAATCAACAATAGAAAAGAGATGACTTCCATTTCCTCAGTTTATTAAACTAAAAATATGGGTGCTTTAAACAATTTATCATTCTATGATCCAATAAGGGTGTAATTCTGAAAGCCAGATCGTGTCCCTTAGGTTAAATGACATTTGTTTTTGAGCTATTTCCTGGAAACTGTAATCAGTGTAGGAAAGCAAAAAATGAAAGTTTAAAAAATGCCCACCAGAAAACAAAAACGTGTCTCTTAAAATACTGTTCTATTATCACATTAGCACATAATTGACTCTTAAAATTTATAATTCAGTAAAGATGTGAAAAAGCACATTCATACCAGAACTTAGGTCTAGCTTTCCTTATAATACAACAGGATTCAGTGCTAGAAGATTGCTTTCTCTCTGTTTTTTTTTTTTTTTTGGCCAGAATTTCAATTTCTTAAAATATCTTCAAATTTGAATCCATTCGACATTTTACAGTGATTGTTTGCCAAAAAAAAACCTCTTTAAGAAAACAGGAAAAGCACCTCACTTTTCACTGGGCTCTGAACATCGTTTTTTTTTTTTTTTTAATCAAAGTGACAAAAAAGAAAATAAGAAAGACAAATACAGCATGTTTTCTCTCATATGTGGAATCTACACATAAAAAAGTGAATGACCTGAGCATAAAATGGCAGAACTGTTTGGGGATGGAAAACAGAGGGAGGGAGAATAGGAAAGGAGAGGGTGAGGGGATGAATATGATTAACGCATTCTAACATGTTTGGAAATAGAAAAATGAAACCCATTACAAATTGTTTAAAAAATGGGGGGAGGGCAATACAAATACAAGTAATATTATATGTTCATGCAAGTATATACAAAACATGTACCTAAAAGTGGGACTGGTAGAAGAGACTAAGGGAGGAAGAAAAGAAGGAAAGAAAGATAACAAATAATGTAATGCATCACATCTGTGTAGGAATAGGACACAATGAAACACACTGAAAACTGTTAAATAGCACAGGATAGGGGGAAAAGGACTAGCAAGTGCAGTGGAAGGGGTTACATTGACTTCAGCACAATGCATATAGTATAACACCAAGGGAGAAATCCTACTGAACAACAACTAGACACCTAAACAATGAAGGACAAGAATGAAAAACAGGTCATGCTAAGGGGGAGAGTGCTAACTGGACAGAGAGGGTAAAAGAAGGAAGTAAAGAGGGTGAATATAGTTGAAGTACTTTTTACATAGGAATGAATATAGAATTTTTAAATCTGTTGAATTTACAAGAAGGTAGAAAGGAGAAAAATAGAAAAGATGAACCAATTCATGTGATAATACATATATACATGGAAGTGTCACAAGAAAACTCCCTGTGTAGCTATCTTAAACAGAAATGTCTTTTTTTCAAAAATGAAGGACAGGAAGGTAAAACAAGTCCTGACTAGGGGTTGGTACCAATGGGAGGGGGAAGATTTAGGGAAGGAGTAAAGGAGGATAAATATGATGGAAATATATTTGGAAATGGAATAATGAGACCTGTCAAAACTATTGTAAGAAGGAGGAGAGAGGGTGAATTTGACTAAGATAAATTGTAAGCACCTTTGTAAATGTCACAGTGTACCCCCAGTACAACAATAATATAATACATTTTTTACAAAATGGGGAAGGGGGACAAAAAGGTAACAGAGGGGGTGGTTTTGATCAAACTACATTATATTCCTGTATAGAAATATCACAATGAAACTCCTTTGTACAATTAATATATGCTCATTTTAAAAAGAGGAAAATAACTTGAAATAAAAACAAGACAGTGAGTCATAACTGTTTATACAACTATATTTTTTTCCCTAAAACGTTTTCTGGTTTCTGTAAGCAAACTCCCATTTTTGAAACCTTACTTTACAGGCCAGTGGCCTAACCAGCAATATGGTGACTTAGAGTGTGTTTGGGGGAAGAGAAGGCAGAGGAGAAAATCATCTGTTGTGAATCATTCCACTGTGGGCATTAATCATTGTTGATGTTTTTAATGACTTCAAGAAAAGCTACAGACAGACTAGAATAACTTGCCTCACCTATATTAGATTATATTAGGTTCCTTTTTATATGTATTTCAAACTTATTATGGGTACTGTGATACGACTTTAAGTTGAAGAGCATCTGCATTATCTTTTTAATTTACATTCATGAGAAATAGTGAATAAAAAAATTAAAGGTGCTGTAGAGAAGATGCCCTAGATGAGGAAGAGGATGTTTTGAATTCATTTTTCTAGTGTTACTGAGTGGCTAAAAGCATTTAAGAAAGGCCACATTGATCCACATTTGGTAGGAACAGAGAGGGGAATGGGAAAGAGGGAAAGAGGGAAACCATGTAGTATTGCGGGAAGATGTCACTTACTTCCCTCTGTCCCCAGCAGCAGCAGTGGATGTTTCTTTTAGACAGAATGCAGTTCGCAAGCAATTTCCAAGGTCCATTGTATCTCAAGAATCCACAGTTGTGTAGTGGTTGATAAGCCATGCTCTCAACTTTTCCCCACAGGCTACTTATACCTGGCCATTGAGTACGCCCCCCATGGAAACCTCCTGGACTTCCTGCGCAAGAGCCGTGTGCTGGAGACAGACCCTGCTTTTGCCATCGCCAACAGCACTGCTTCCACACTGTCCTCCCAGCAGCTTCTTCACTTCGCTGCAGACGTGGCCCGGGGGATGGACTACTTGAGCCAAAAACAGGTTTGTTCTGAAGACCTGACTTGGGACGTCTTTTCTCTGGAGTTCTCTCTAGAGTCAGAGCTTTTGTGTGTTTGTGTGGTCTTTCCATCAACCTCTCCTCTCTAATTCTTTCTTCCAGTCTCCCTGATTTTTATTTATTTGTTCATATTCCATTTATATAGAATGTAATGCCTAATACTGAGAGTGTATTTATTTAGTGAATTTCATAATACATATTTGGTGATATGCTTTAACCTATCTTAGCTTGGTTTGCCTCCAAATAATGTACAATAACCTTGCAACTGAAAAAGTCAATGACATGGGCACTTCTTCCCCCTGAAATGCTTCCCCTGGGTCATTTGGCAGAATCAACTAGCTGAGAGTTGTGGAGAGGTACTCGGAAGGAACCGAATACTGGTGACTTTTAAAGCATCTTTTTATACTCTTATTTCTTCTCTATCTCCCAAAGTTCTTGCCCTCCTCTACCCCCAGAGCTTTCTGCTAACAAAATGAAGTGAAAAAGCAAGAATTGCACTGAAAATACATAAAGTTTTTAAAAATTTCAGTTTATCCACAGAGATCTGGCTGCCAGGAACATTTTAGTTGGTGAAAACTATGTAGCCAAAATAGCAGATTTTGGATTGTCCCGAGGACAAGAAGTATACGTGAAAAAGACAATGGTAAGTTCAGAATATAGACACTGATAATGTACTCTCTGAGGCACCCTGCGTCTTCTAATGGCACTTTCCTTAAAATGTCATTTTTCTATGGTGACACAGGCATGTGACTGTATTCTAGCAGATACCTCCAGCCAGTAAGCATTCTTTCAAGGTTTCTTAACATGATAGGTCTCCATATTACCATCAAAGTAGGCACTGACACATACGGCCATGTAACTGAACATTGTATTGAAGTCCTGTTCTCAGGGTGTCTGGTCTGGGTCCACTCTGGGCACCTTGGTGTCTCTCTCAGAAGCTTCTGAAGAACTCCCAATACTCTCCTGTGAACAGCAAACAAAGTAGGGGAAGAAAAATTTAGTGTATTTTCCCCAAATCAAGGGAATAAATACATGGTTCCCTAAGTCACACAGAGGCCCTATAGAGAAATTTATAACTTCTAAAGGCCCACATAAGATTCCCTCTTCATTAAAAGTCACCACTGACTCAAGCCAAAATCAGATCCACCTTTTCCTAATGATATCCACTTTCCCATACAGTATATCTTTAAATACAAGACTGGTGTCAAACCTAGCCATACAGTCTTACAGGAAGACAGAACCTGGACTCATTCTGCTTTTGTGCAGATTCTGGACTCGTTAAGTCCTAGAAATGCCACATCCTTGAATGTTTGTGCTGAGCAGACAACATGCCACCACACTGCCTTTTCAGGGGAGGGGCAGAGCACAGAGCCTTGGGGGTGACAAGCCTATAGTCTTCACCTGGCTCTGTGGATCTTGTCCAGTGGGTGGCTCTCCCTTGTCTGGGTCTGATGAACATCACATGGGCTCTGTGTTCCTGGATCTGCTCCAGTCATCTTGAGATACAAGTGGTCTTTTTTTCTTTTGTGACACCAAATTCCTCTCAGCAAGGCTCAGAGTCCTGAATTTATCCTCAGATCCAGGTTTCCTTTCTTTTCAGTATACTTATTTTACTGACAAGATAAAACAGTATACAAGAATATTTTGAAAAGGAAAGTGCCCATAATTTATCTCTTGACATAGTCTTTCCACTTGGCCCAGCATACCTATTCTTACATAGTTACAAGCTCAGTGGACATGATCATTGTGGATCTTTTAATTCCTTTTTTATACCTATTCTTACATAGTTACAAGCTCAGTGGACATGATCATTATGGATCTTTTAATTCCTTTTTTTAGGAGCAGTTGAAGCGGGGCCCTCTTTGGCCTCTCATGTGGCCCTGAGGCCTTATCAACATCATTTTCAGGAGCCACAGATTCTGAGGACTGGCTTCCAGGGAATCCTTTCTTCCCAAGGCCTTGCAGACTCTGACCCACTCAAAGCACATGTTTCTTATAAAGAAGCAGGACCCATGTCTTAACCACCCAGTCCAACTCTCTCACCTCCTCCTCTCTTCTTCACAGAATCCCATTCCATGCCCCACGCTAGCGTTTGGGGGTTGTGGCATTCCAGATGAAGGGTATAGGTATGAGTACAGGTGAGGCTATGGTCAACTTCATGGCCTACATGGTCTGTTTGTTCTCTTCAGATCCCCAAGGCTAATGCCTGGCATTTCATAAAGCACTAGGATTACTTGGAGCGCTTAGGAGGGATGCTGAGTGAGGCAGAGTACTGGTCATGGCTCACCTCTTTCTCAGAGGACAGTGGAAAACATTCAGTAAGGGCCTGAGAAAGGATTGGAGAGAGTGCTTCCTGCAGATAGGCTCCACTGGAGCGTAGAGTGGCTGCCTTCTTTGGTCTAACTCTCATTGCATCTTGGGATCATCTGGAGATTTAAAAAAATTCAAATGCTGAATTTTACCATCTAGATGTTCTGACTCCAGTTGTCAGGGGTGGGTATCCTGTATTTAGAGTGTTTCTTACGTCCTCCTATGTGAATCTACTATTGGAAGTGTTGCTGTGAGCTCCTGTGCTAAGTGTTTTGGAGTTTTACTATTAATATATCCATCCCCTCATCATTGATTTATTTATTACTATACTGTTTCATACTTATGCTAGGTCTTGGGATAGCATATATCAGACTAAGTCTCCACATTCAAGGAGTCCACAGATAAACACAGAGAACTTGGGGAAGAGTCCCTGTCCTGCCTAAGTGGCATCTTATTTTGTTCTCTTCAGGGAAGGCTCCCGGTGCGCTGGATGGCGATTGAGTCACTAAATTACAGTGTATATACAACCAACAGTGATGTGTAAGTAAACTCCTTTTTGCTAAGGGATACTCTTTCCAAAAAATACACATTTGACACAGGTTTTAAAGAGAAGCAGGAATATCCTATAACTGTCTGGAGGAAATAAATTCATAGAGTAAATGAAGCTGCAGAGCAGAGAGTTTCCAGAGTATAAAATTATTGGTGGCAAGTTTTGGGTTTACTTTGCCTATCAACAAGGCTTCAGGTGGTGAGTTTTTTTTCCTGTGGTCCTGGGATTTGAACTCTGGGCTTCATGCTTGCTAGGCAGATGCTCTACCACCTGAGCCACACCTCCAGCCCAAGTGGTATATTCTTGATCTCTAAAGACAGCAAGGACTTATATGCCTTCCCTACACCTGGCTTGGAGGAAGCAGCCCAGAATAGCTGCTGTGGTGACAGATGGTGGGAACAAGAGTAAGGCCCAATAGGGAGTCATCTGTAGTGACAAGTTTCAACTGGCAGTGGCAGGGAGGGCTGGGATTGGATTTCAGCCACCTTGCCTTGCACCCCACTTTCAGGAAGGAAACCAGAGGCCCAGATGTTGTGGTGGCTTGTTCTAGGAGATTTTGCTTATGTCTGGGGAAGGGGAGGAGACATTTACTATGTCGTCACTGTGTGTAAGGTGCCTTTGATGTGCCATCCTGTACATGTTTGAAGGAGCCAGAGATCCATGTCCCCACTTTTGGAAGAAGTCAATAATTTGTCCCAGGTCATACAAGTATTATGTGGCAGGCATAAGATTCAACTCAGATCTTAGAATTTCACTTGCTTTCTACTGTAGCACCTCATCTTCTCTACTTAAAGTGAGTTAAGGACTTTGGTGAGGTGAGCCCTGTTTCCTTGTTGTAACCCATCCATTGGCCCAAGGACCCATGCTGTGGGCAAGGCTCTAACCTAGGAGGCAGACTTGGAACAGTTCCTTTTCTGACTTTAAGAACAAGAAATCAAAGGGTTAACCTGTTTGCTGCTTATTGATTTCACACTTGTCCCTCCTGCAGATGGTCCTATGGTGTGTTGCTCTGGGAGATTGTTAGCTTAGGTGAGTATCTACATTTACCTACCAGAGGAGACTCTGGGCAAAGAGAGTGGGTCCTTCAGCAATGCCTCCTAACCCAATTCCATAGGACACCACTTGTATGTGATGCTACCAGCTGGGGCTTGGAAATGTACACAGCATTCCACAGATGAGCATCACGACTTCCATGCTTGTGTTTCATGTTTAACATTAAGGACCTGATGGCGTGAACTCCACTGTAGGTGGTTGCTTCTGTGCAGAGCTGCCATAGAGCTGTAGCCAGCTTACTTCCCCAGCTTTACAGGGGATATTTTGAAGTCATTGAAAAGCACATTTTTTTCTTTACTAAATTTTAAAAAATTTATTAGTATATAATATTTGTACAGAGGAATACGTTGTGATATTTACACATGTGCTTACAATATATCTTAGTTAGATTTACCTCCTCTATCATTCTCCCTCTTTTCCCTTCCCCCCTCTTAGAACAATTTCAACAGGTTTCATTCTTCTACTTTCATATGTGAATACAAAATACATCCACCATATTCACCCTCATTCACCCCTTCCTTATGCTCATACCCTTCCCACTGGTACCCACCCCTGGAAAAATATCTATTTAACCCTCCTGCTCTTCATTTTTAAAAGTGTATATTGATAGTCCAAGGGGGTTTGAACTTGGTACCTTAATTTTGTATATATCATGCTTTAATCAAATTAACCCCCTCCATTACTTACTCATTCTCTATTGCCATGTTCCCCTAATATTCAATAGCTTATTGTACAGTGCATTATATTATACTCATATATAGATGAGTTATTTCAATATTTTTCATTCTCTAACATCTTGTTTCGCTCTCTCATCTCCTGTAGTCCCTCAGACTAATAGAATTTTGTTCTCTCTCACATATACGTATACATATATGTATACCTATACATATATATGATCATATATGTATCCATATCTACATTTAACTTATAGTTCTAGTTTCCACATCACATTTTTGAAGTCATGTGAAAATGTACATTCCAAAAAAAGGTCATGTACACTATACCAGTTTATAAAGATATATTTTTAAAAATCTCTAAGTACTACACAGAAAAGTAGTAAGAGCTATTAGGAATTTTCCCCCTTCATTTACTTTTTTTACTCCATGTTTTCTACAGAAAATATGTATTGCTCTTATAATTCAAACTGTATAATGATTGATTGATACCACAGGAATTGCACAGTCTAACAGCAGACTTTCAATTAGGAAAAGGAGATAGCTCACAGATACAAGAGATGGCTGTGCAGGCCAATTTAGGAAGAGACACAGCACATCCAGGCCAAGGTCTGTGCTGGGTCTCTACTGCAGCCTGCAGAGAGTCCAGGCTGGTGTGCAGGGGGCTAAGTGCTTACTATCCCTCCACATCCAGGCTCCCTCACCTCTTGGCTTTGGAGGTGGGGACTGGAAACACTCAGGACACCATTTCTTGTCTTCCAGGTGGCACCCCCTACTGTGGGATGACATGTGCAGAACTGTATGAGAAGCTGCCCCAGGGCTACAGGCTGGAGAAGCCCCTGAACTGTGATGATGAGGTGTAAGTCAGGCCTAACCTAGGGCCATCTTATTTGAACCCTGCTCCTGCTTGATGTAATGAGTCATCTGATACACATAAAAACGTACCCACAGCAGGCAAGGGGCAGAAGATTTCTAGATACAGAAATCTAGGAGGGATTTATGAGGAACTACTTGGGAAGGTTGAAATTAGGAAGGATAGAAAATGCAGAAAAGTATGAAATAAATTCAAATAAATGTGTGTAACTTTTTGATTAATGTTGGGGATAAAGATTTCAGAGCTGTCCCACTAAGAAAGATGGATTTTGTTCATAGAATCTTGCTTTTTGTTGAGATTATTTTTCAGGAGTAAGAATTATTCTGAGAGGAAGAACAATTAGTTTTAGTGATACCATTCCAGAACCAGTCATAGTAGAAGCTGTCTAACTGACATGATTTAAAGAGTGCCAGGTTCTAGGTTGAGCAAACAATTTATTGTCTAGACTTCCAAGACTGAGAGAGGGTCCTATTAATAATGTCACTGTGGCCAGGTGTGGCAGCAAATCCCTATAAACCAAGTTACTTAGAAGGTGGACATAGGAGGATTGTGGTTTAAGGCCAGAACAGGCAAAAAGTTATCAAGACCTCCATCTCAATAAACAAGCCAGGAACACTGGTTCACTCCTGAATTCCCACTTATACCAGAGGCATAGGAAGGCGTATCCTGGTGTGAGACCAGCCCTGAGAAAAAAACAGATCCTACATGAAAAATAAAGAAAGCAAAAAAGGGCTGGGAGGATGGCTTAAGTGGTAATACATGTGCCTAGTAAGCATAAGACCCTGAATTCAAATGCCAGTGTCACCAATATTATTATTATTATTATTAGCGATAATAGTAATGTCACTGTTACAAGAGGCATAAATGGAAGCTATCTTGGGCAAACTTGGATGTTGGATGATCACTGGACAAAGTCCTTACATTTTTCCTGCTGAGCTTCAGGCCATAAGATTTTCCATTTTTAAGACATGTTTGGTGGAGTCTCTGTTCCTAATTCCTGTATGGGGAACAGGAAATGTTTCTCCCTTATTTTGACTATTTTCCCCCACTTTTACCCTGTTACACTAAATTTCTTTCTTAATAAACTTCACTATCACTTTAGTAACCTACAAATGATTCTAGAATCTGTGACATGTAGCCCGATGATTGATACCTTATTTTTACATAAGATTCCCCTGAGGCATCTGATAAGTATGTGATCTTGCACCCCTCCCAGGCATCCTGATTCTGCAGGTCTACAACAGGTCCCAGGGATGCATATTTTAATAACTCTAGTAGTTCTGACCACATTGGAGGAAGTGCTACCTTAGACTAGTGTTCCCAAAACCATGTTCATCAGTGTCTTCAAGAAATGAAAGAAATTTTCTGGGTGCTAAGCTTTCATCTTCTGCAGGCCAAACTTCATGACCATACATTGGTGGCTGATTCTCTTTAATACTTTGTTTTCAAAGGTATGATCTAATGAGACAGTGCTGGCGGGAAAAACCTTATGAGAGGCCATCATTTGCCCAGATATTGGTGTCCTTGAATAGGATGCTAGAAGAACGAAAGGTGAGCATACATTTTGGAGAAGTTACTGGAATTCCTGATGTAACTAATAAAAAATCTTTGATATAATTCAACAAACTCTTTTGGGCCTAACTTCAGGTATTACAAGGACATAAAGGATGTGTTCTTAACTTTGAAGAAGTTACAACTTCCTCAAAGAGGAACTAAGATTTTTGTACAAGATACAGTCACACACATTCTAGAACAGCATAGAATTAGCATATTAGATCTGGAAGTGATCTTACTCCAATAGTCTTACCCTTTATTTTTATAGATGAAGAAAAAGACTCAAAGAGGAAAAAGTGAATTACACACAGCAAGTAGACAACAAAGCCTGGTCAGCAGGTTACTCTGGACACTTAGGAATTCTATGAAAGTTTCTAAAAAAGTAGTTGGCTATACCAATCTGGGGGTCAACAAACAAGTCAATCTAGGTTAAGCAAATATATTTTGAATGTCTTTAAAACCTAAGTGGTAATTCAATGAGAGATGTGGGTGAGATCACACAGGGAGATCTGAGGATGAGATACGGGTAAAGAAACGAGCCCTGGAAAACCTGACTTATCAGGAGGCTCAGAGAGAAAGAGATGTTCAGAGACTGAGGATGGGGAGAGTATGAAATCTTACTTGCAGAAGTCAAGGGATGGAATTGCAGGAAAAAGTAATCAAATACAACAGAGGGAGTGAAGACAGAACAGTGTCTCTGCATACTTGATATATGAATTGAAGCAAGCTAAGAAAACCAGGGCACTGGTATAACTGCCTGGGCAGAGTCAGAACCAGGGAAGTGTGTGCGAACTGTTCTCGCTCTTCCAGACCTACGTGAATACCACGCTTTATGAGAAGTTTACCTACGCGGGAATCGACTGCTCTGCTGAGGAAGCTGCCTAGGGCAGAATGTGGTCTCCTCCATCCCCTCATCTCCTTTTCACTGGCACGAGAGATCGCCAAGATGTGATATAGACGTGTATATATGTGTATATATATTGCCGTATGCCTGGGACCTTCAGCCCCCTCCCCCACTGTGTGGATCTGTGGTATGCTCTGACTCTGATAGGGCTGTAAATACTGTTTTGAGTAAGAATGTGCTGGAATCAGAATGCCTGTTTGTGGTTTCATATAATATATTTTTCTAAAAATGTGGACTTCGTAGGAAAGTGTGAGAGTACAGTTACTGTAATTCATTACTTGTTATTGTCCTAGATATTTTCGATATTTGCCTTTATAATTGAATGCTATGAAATGTTTTTCTCTGTAGAAGTAAAATATTGTTAATAAACCTAACAATTACCCTGACAACACAGGTAAGGAAAGTGAGGGAAATATATGAATTTTAACAGGACATGGGTTAATATTTAAGAGGCTAAAAAATTCCAAGCAATGTAAAAGAGATTTTTCTCTCAATTTTGTTCCTAATCTAGAGAAGTCAGACCCATTTCCTTTGGCCATGTGATAACTTCATCTGTATTTCCATAGCCACAAGTCAGTCCAGAAGTTTAACATCCAAAAAAATTCTTAGATACCTAAGAATCTTTAGAGAAGTATAAATAGGTTAATAGATAAATTGGTGGATTTACTTTTACTTTCTCTAGTAATACTGACTTGTGTCTTTTAAGAAATAATAAAAACAGAAATCCAGGAATGATATTTTGGAGATATGTGACATTTATCATATTGAATTAGCATCCTTACATGTATTGTACATTGTAAAAAGTTTTAGTTTTGATCAGTTGTAAGTTTATCATTTATACTGTAAGCATATGTTGCACTGGGATCATACTGTAAGTGAATAAATGTCCTGCCTACCAACATTTTGTCCAGCAGTGTGTCAAGGATATTGGAAAATGTCTGTATTATACTTTATCATCCCTTAACTTATCAGTGATAAGACTGTAGAGCAGTTGGGGAACATAACCTCCCCCACCCAACAGGAACCCAATATTCCCACGGTCATAAAGTTCTCCTAGAAGTGGTTACTGTCTAGTTCCTTTTTTTTTTTTGCCTCATGGTGGTACATCTCTGGTTGTGTTCCATTGTGAATCCAGGGCCTACAATTAGAATCTGCTTTAAATGTGTCATAATGTTAAATGCTAGTTTATACTGTATCATGTTCCACATCCCTGCCTTCTTATGTATTTAGTTTGTCCAAAATGCTCTTTTTTCACAACAACATATTCAAGAGACAAGATGGAGCAAGATCAAGGTGGCTGCCATATCATTTGTTTACTTAAATGGAAACTCAAAGAGCCATTGAAATATAGGATGAAAGTGATAACACCAAGATGGTGAGGTAAGAGATACCAGTCTTCATCCCTCCACAGAAAAATAGACAGCTATTCATTATCCAAATATAGACCAGAGAGGGCTCAAGGACCCATTAAGGAATCTATCAACACAATGGAGCAAAACCCAGAATAGTCTATGGAGGACATTCCTAGTGAGAATGGCAACCAGAGATGCCAGAGACAGCCAGGTGCAAAGAAGAAAGGTGAAGCTTATTGATGTTGGTCATGCAATGAGAACCATTCCGTCCTCAGCAACCTGTTCGTTTTGCAGGAAACACGGGCATCTCTTGCCATGAGGCAACCAACTGCTATTCCTGGTAAGGAGTAGGAGAGAGAGAGAAAGAGATGTGTAGCTGCAAACTCTTATTACCACATCAGGAAGCAGCTGTTCTTGACCTCCACGGAGCAAAGATCTGCTACCTCTCCAATGCTGGAGCCACAGCCCTTGTATAGGTTCCCAGGTTCCATGGCTGCATTGAGCTTGCCCATGTCTCAGACACCATAGCAAGCTAGTTAAGACTCCAGGCCCTGAACTCATGCACCCACACAGGCCTCTCCTCCAGCCACAGTAGAGAAGGAGGCCCCATCCTGACACAGAGCCACTCTAATAGTGCACATGTCTCTTCACACATTCTTGGTTCCTGGACTCCTTTATAAGCACTCATATCTCAAAAACATCAATGTGACAGAAGGGGGCTTGTCCCCAGATGAACTCAGTCATTGTGGACCTGTTCTAATTCTGCACACACCTGTAAGCCCATTTTGGCTCCCTGGTCACTTTACAAGCATTTACTTGCATATTTGTTACTAGGGTGTCAGTGTGGGTGCCTATGCCCCAGGCACCGGTGCCATTAATACCTCAGATCCCATAGTATAGTACCTCCAATTGTGTCTGTATTTCAGGCCTTAGCTCCATGACTATTCCAGGGACAGCACTCATCAGATACTGGTGTTACTGCAATATAGCACACAAGCCAGACCTAATGCCAAAAGGGATCCTCTCAGGCTGGGGGCATGGCTCAAGTGGTAGAAGGTCTGCTTAGCAAGTGCAAGGCCTTGAGTTCAAATCTTTGTACTGCCAAGAAAAAAGAGGAGTTCCTTAGCTATAATTTCATCAGTAGGAGAAAAAGTAGGACCTTAGGAACCATTACCACTAAAGACCCCAACAAACTGCACACATTTGTGCATTGGTTACTGAGGATCTTTGCAATTTTCTTCAATGCTAACCTCAGCTGATAGAGTTGCACCGAGATTACACAGGTAGCATCATTACTGGCATTAGAAATTCTGTTTGCCACATAGCAAGAACCCTTGCAACCCAAAGCAGGAAAGGTCTTCTTGCAGCAAAACTGGTGTGTAAAGTCCACAAGATGAAGGCATCATTGTAAGCAATAAGAACCATGACAAACCAAGGAGACAAAATACCAGCAAAGGCACATAATTTCCCAGTAGTTGACCTCAAAATAATACACAATAATGATATTTTAAGGAACCTATGTAAACTTTAATAAAATATAGAGGAACAATTCAATAACATCAGGAAAACAATTAATAACCAAAATAAGAAATCTGAGACTGTATATATTTAGAAAATTCTCAAGTTAAAAGGTACAATGAATGAAATGAAAAATGTAAGTGAACCTTAATAGCAGAATGGATTAAGAAGAAGGAATCTGTGAGTTGAAAGATGGGTTATTCAAAAATATACAGTCACAGGAGAAAAATAAAAACAATGAAAAGGAACAAAGAAAACTTATGGGGTTTGTGAGACAACACCAAAAGAGCATATGTTTATAAGAGTTTAAGAAGAAGAGAGACAAAGGAGTAAAAAGCTTAAAAATTGCTAGAATAAAACCTTCCAGGTCAGAGGAAAGATATAAATTTGCAGGTACAAGGTTTCTAATCAAACAAGACTACCCTAAGTCATATTCATATTCAAACTGTTAAAAATCAAAGGAGGAGAGTCTAAAAGAAGCAAGAGATAAGAAAATCACATACAGATTAAGTGTCCTTTATCAGAAATGTTTAGGATGAGAAATGATTTGGATTTCAAATTTTTTGTGGATTTTGAAATATTATTAGCATAGCCCTTACCATCTGTGCATCTGTAACACAAAAATGCAAAATCCAGGAGCTGGAGATACTGCTCAAGTGGTAGAGCACTTGCCTAGCAAATGTGAGGCCCTGAGTTCAAATCCCAGTACCACAAAAACAAAACAATACAAAAAATTCCAAAATCCAAAATTGTTTGAGTATCAATTGAATTTTGAATGCTTAACCTGTATAAGGGAATTTCATTAAGGTTAGCAGCAGATTTCTCAACAAAAACTTTACAGCCCCAGAGAGAGTAAGATGATAGATTCAAAGTGCTGAAGGGGGAAAAAAACCTGGCAAAACCAATCCTATATCTAGCAAAGCTCTCTTTCAGATATGAAAAAAGAGATAATGACTTTTCCAGATAAACAATAAAGGGGTTCCTCACCACCAGACCTAAATTATAAGAAATGCCAAACAAGATTTCTTCAACCTGAAAGAAAAGGATGCTCAATAGTGACAGTGTAAAAATAGGAAATCACTGGTAATAGTAAATATACAAAATTCTGAAACCCTAATACTATAATGGTTGTGTGTAAATCTTTTATATTCCTATGAATTAATGTTAGACAAAGCTATTAAAGCTGAAAATTGCAATAATTTGTTAAGGAGTATGTAACATAAAAAGATGCAAATTGTGACATCAAAAACACAACATGCTGGAGGGAGTAAAGTGTAGAGTTATTTGATGGAATCCAATTTACATTGTTAGCTTAGTATAGCCTGTTAGAACTATAAGATATTTTGTGTAAGCCACATGGTAACCATAAAGCAAAACCTATGCAGACATAGAACAGATGGAAGATAAAGTATAAATATAGGATATCATCTCATTACAAAGGAAGAAAATAAAGGAAAAAAGGCACTACAAAACAACAAGAAAAAAAGTGAACAAAATTGCAGTAGTTTTTACCTGTCAATAATGGTATTAAATTCTCCAGTTGAAAGGCATAGAGTAGCTCAATGGATTTTTTACTTTATTTTATTTTTAAATTTATTATTCATTTATTCACATGTGCATACATTGTTTGGGTCATTTCTCCCCCCTGCTCCCCTCTCCACCCCCTCACTTCCAGGCGGAACCTGTTCTGCCCTTATCTCTAATTTTGTTGAAGAGAAGACATAAGCATAATAAGGAAGACAAAGAATTTTTGCTAGTTGAGTTAAGGATAGCTATACAGAAAGATTCCTAGCATTGCTTCCATGTACAAATGTGTTATAACCCAAGTTGATTCATCTCTAACTGATCTTTAGACTGGTTCCTGATCCCCTTCTCATGTTAACCTGTGTCACTTTAAGGTTTCTGTATTAGTTCCTCTGGAGTGGGGACATCAAACGCTTTCATGTTTTGGGTTTTCTGTCTATTCCCATAGCTCCCATATGTGCTCTGCCCTTATCATGTGATCAAGTCCAACCACATTGCTGCATTTGCTCTAGATATAAAGTGTGCATATGAGGGAGAACATATGATTTTTGGTCTTCTGAGCCTGGCTAACCTTGCTCAGAGTGATGTTCTCCAGTTCCATCCATTTACCTGCAAATGATAAGATTTCATTCTCCTTCATGGCTGAGTAAAATTCCATTGTGTATAAATACCACATTTTCTTGATCCATTCATCAATATTGGGGCATCTTGGTTGTTTCCATAACTTGGCTATTGTGAATAGTGCTGCAATAAACATGTGTGTGCAGGTGCCTCTGGAGTTACCTGTGTTGCATTCCTTTGGGTAAATCCCCAGGAGTGGGATTGCTGGATCATATAGCAGGTCTATGTTTATATTTTTAAGAAGCTTCCAAATTTTTTTTCAGAGTGGTTGCACCAGCTTGCATTCACCAGCAGTGTACCAGGGTTCCTTTTCCCCCACATCCTTGCCAACACATGTTGTTGGTGTCTTGATGATGGCTATTCTAACAGGGGTGAGGTGGAATCTTAGTGTGGTTTTGATTTGCATTTCCTTCATGGCTAGAGATAGTGAGCAGTTTTTCATGTGTTTTTGGCCATTTGAATTTCTTCTTTTGAGATAGTTCTGTTTAGTTCAGTTGCCCATTTCTTAATTGGTTCATTGATTTTAGGAGAGTTTAGTTTCTAAAGTTCCCTGCATATTCTGGTTATCAGTCCTTTGTCTGATGTATAGCTGGCAAATATTTTCTCCCATTCTGTGGGTGGTCTCTTCAGTTTAGAGACCATTTATTTTGTTGTGCAGAAGATTTTTAATTTTATGAAGTCCCATTTGCCCATTGTTTCTCTTAGTTGCTGATCTGCTGGGGTTCTACTGAGGAAGTCCTTGCCTATACCTATTAGTTCCAGAGTGTTTCCTACTCCTTCCTGTACTAACTTCAGAGTTTCGGGTCTGATATTAAGGTCCTTGATCCATTTTGAGTTGATACTAGTACAGGGTGATTGACATGGTCTAGTTTCAGTTTCTTGCAGATGGATAACCACTTTTCC